ACTTTTTTTTTTTTTCAAAATAGGGTTTCTCTGTATTGCTTTGATGCCTGTCCTGGAACTTGCTCTGTAGACCAGGCTGGCCTCGAACTCACAGAGATCCACCTGCCTCTGCCTCTGGAGCACTGGGATTAAAGGCATGTACCACCAACCCCAGACTCACCTTCCCCCCCCCCTTTAAAGACAAGAGTCTTGCTACTATGTAACACAGGCTGGTCTTGAACTCACGTCTTTCTTCCTTAGCCTCCTGAGTGCTTGGGTTACAGGCGTATATCACCACTTGTGATGGGAAAGTAGTTTAGTGTGCATTTTGAATGATTTTTCCATTGAGAATTGCTTGTTCTCGTGTAGAGTTCCATTATTGTGCTGACTTAGAAAAGGGTTAGCGACAAGGAGACTCCTTGCAGATGAATCAGACCCAGGGTCCATTGCAGCTGTGGCTTACTGAAGTATGTCCCCAGCTGGTGCAAGCCATCCCTTAAAATAGGCTCTTCCCCTCACATTAGGAAAAGCCCAGCATAGGAATGCTGTGCCCACATCTACCAGTGTGGTTACCTCATCTTGAGTTCAGAGCGTTGGGCAGGGAACATTGAAGGACTTCCTGGTTGTGCTGTTTCAAACCAGGGAATGATGAACAAACAGGACCAGGGGGAGAGACCCACAGAAGGACGTGGTGATGGAAGCAAGTGATGTTCAGGAAGAGCTGTGTTGTGCTTTCCAGGGCTCTGTGAAGCCAGAGCCGACCCATGATGGCAGCTCTGATGACAGTGAGCAGCTCTTGTTTGTGGTGACCCAAGGCTGCTCCACACATCTCCACAAGGGAGGTGTATTAGCCAGCACCTTCTGTGGAGGGGAGGAGGCCAGGCTTAGCAGCTCCTGGAATCTTTCCTCGGGAGACGCTGGTGCCACATCACTGTCCCAGCTGTCCTTGGTACCCTTCTGTTCCATCCCAAGTTCCGGAATCAAAAACACTGCTTCCTCCCGCTCCCGGCTGCTTGCTCAGGTGTTTCCTCTGGGAGACCTGCAGGGCTGTGTGGGTCGATGTCCCCCTGGACACTTGTGCTCATGGACACACAAGCTTATGGAACACTGGATCCTGTTCGTATTGCTCCTGGATCTGGGAAATCATAGATTAGCAAATGGGGGCAAGAAGGGTCTCTAAGAATGGCCTTGAGTGGAAAAACCAAGGTCTCTGAGCACTCTGAAGAGGAACTCATCAAGAACTCTAGTGTGTCTCACGTGGAACAGTGGAAATGTCTTTGTGGCACAGCAGAGGTCTTGGGACTCGAAGGGGAAGGCTTTTTTGTGTGTGGGATATAGTGTCACTGTGGCCCTGCCTGGCCTGGAACACTCTATGTAGACCAGGTTAACCCTGAACCCTTAGAGATCCACCTGCCTCTGCCTCCTGAGTACTGGGACGAGAGACACCCAGCTGAATAATATTATTTTACATTTATTTATTTGATGTTATTTATTTACTTACCTTTTTGTTTGTTTATTTGTGTGTGTGTGTGTGTGTGTGTGTGTGTACATGCCCGCACACACGTGTCATTCCCTCTCAAGCACGTGTCATGGCACACATATAGAGGTCAAAGGACAACATGTGAGAATGGATTCTCCCTTTCCACTTTGTGGGTCCAGGAGATCAAACTCAGATTTTCAGGCTTGGTGGCAACTGTCTTAACTCACCAAGCCATCTCCCCGGCCCAGGCTCATGCTTTGAACATTTGTTCCCAGCTGGTGGTTCTGTTTTCAAGACTCTGCGACCTTTGGGAGGTAGGGCTGAGCTGAAGGAAGGAGTCTGGTAGAGGCAGGCCTTTAGAGTTGCATCCAGCACTGGTTCTGGCCTGTTCTCTCTGCTCCCTGCTCCTCAGCCTTGTGAACCGCTGCTGGTTCCTGCTCCCACCACCAAGGACAGATCTGCTTGTGTTTTGTGCACCACCCATCATTGACTTCCCATCCACAATGTATTGCAGACCTCTAGAATTGCCAGGTGTTTGGACAGCCAGGCCAGTGACTGATAGCCCAGGTGTCCCTGAGATCTATGGAGTTGGCCTCAGCAACACTGGAGCAGGAGGTGTGGTCCTCAGGGGATAAGAGCTGGAGATCACTGAGGCAAGAAGATCTCATAACTGTCCTCAAAACAAAGCAAGATAGAGGGCTGAGGAGATGGTGCAGGCAGCAAAGGGCTCATCTTACAAGCATGAGGGACCTAAGTTTGATCCCCAGAATCCCCACTAAAAAAAAAAAAAAAAAAAAAAAGCTAGGTGTGTGTGGCAGCATATCCATCACCCCAGTGCAGTGGACAGGAGGACTTGCTGGCCAGACTGCCTAGTCTGTTTGGTAAATCCCAGGCTCCTGAGAGACACTGTTTAAAAACAACAAACAAACATAAGGGAGGGCCAGTGAGATCGCTCAGTGGGTAAAGGTGCTTGCTGCCTGCTGCCCACCCTGATGACCTGAGTTGTGTCTCTGCTACCCACAGTAAGCACAGAATTTGCTTCACAAAATCAAACCTTTGATCTCCATGTTCATGCACATACACATATCACACCACCACAATACGCAAACAAGTAAATAAAATAATCACAAATGATATGGACACCCTGTCGTGAAAAGAAAAAAAAAAAAGGAAGGATATGGATAAGTATGCATCTTATCACATGTCACACACAAGGCTTCCCATTAAATCCAACGTGTCATCTGTCATCACAGCATTCATTTCTGTTCCACCTGTGAGCTATGAGTCCACTGGGGCCTTCCCTGTCGGAAGAGATGGCCCTGCATTTGGGGCATCGCAGGGCTTGTAAACTGGTGAGCTGGTGGTAGTTGCTCTTCCCGCTGTTCCCTGGAGTGTCATCTGCAGTGTCTGCACACTGAGCCGCAGGCAGCTCCCTCCAAGTGGGCTGGTGCAGAGTGCCTGTTCCTGTCCCTCATAGCAGCTGACAGAGGAGTGGGGAGGCATGAGATTACTGTTGGGCCTGTGAATCGCTGGCTTTGTTGGTGACCCTGGTGTAAGCTGCTGCTATGGCTGCTGCACAGCCTTTCCTGCCCGAGCTTCTTTGTGCTTCCTGGTGAACTTGGGTACATATTCAACCACTGCCACCCAGAGCGACAGCCTGGCCCTTCGTTCCCCTCCCAGGCTGGACGCTCAGTGAGTCTAGACAGAACCAAGAAAGGGGACCTGGGGGAGCAGGGGAGCCCCTGCGCTGGCACTGATCCTGACAGACAGTCAGTTTAGACAGGCCTGGGTTAGGGGGCGCATCTGAGAGGGAAATGTTCTTTTCTCAAAACAACAGGATTTCAGTCAGCTGTGAGTGTCTCATGTGGCACAGCCCGACATGGACCTCGGGGCCTTTTGGGAGCCCTAAGGAAAGAAAGAGGAGGTCACCTTCAGCTCAGCTGCTTCCCACAGCATCAGAACTTTTGGAATGTCACCAGGGAATTGCCTTCTCTCCCACCACCCAGCCCTGGATTTGGGCAATACTTTGTGGGGGACAACATTTTGGACCTTATTTTCTTCTTTCAGATCTGGTCCTGCGGTCGTTCAGTGAGGACAAGCTAACCATCTGGCATTCTTTACAGGTTGGGGGCAGGGTGGGGCAAGGCAGGACCAGTGGTGGGTTGTGGGGGGCTCCGGCTCCACCTGCAGGGCACCTGTCTCTTGCTGGACTGGCCAGCTGGGCTCTGCAGCGGGTGAAGCAGCCTCAGAGCCTGGCACTACAGCTGGCCAGCCTCCATCCTGCAGCCCCGGCCCCCCTGCAGGCTGCAGATACGCAGGCAGCCTTTTGGAAGGAAGGGCAGAGCTCAGAGCTCAGCCACCAGCTCCCGGTAAGGTGCGCCATTCCCAGCCCCCCCTTTGGCTTTTGTCTGGTTTTATTTGTAATGGCTGGGAGGAAGGATGCTACAGACAGGGACAAAGCTGCCTGCAGGGGACTCAGCAGAGGGTTCAGGGAAGAAAGCTCCAGGGTCAGCTGGGAACATTGAACTGGGTCCCCAGGGTTCCATCCATCCTGCTGGGAGCTTTCCCAGCAGTGTTACTGTAGAGAGCATTTCCTGTATTTGCAAGCATGAGGTTTTTAAAGTGTTTTATGGAGTGTAATGCTATTTCCCAGCAGCGCGTGCCTGTGAATGTCTGCATGTGTGCACACATGTGTGATTATGTTTTTGTATGTGTTGCACATGGGAGTGTGAAGTGTAGGATTTTTGTGCATGTGTTTGTGACTGCATGAATATGTGTATTTATGGTGTTTGTGTGTAACATTTGTGCACGTGTGTGCATGTGTGTGTTTGTGTGGGCATATGTTTGTGTACATTTTTACATGCACTTCTTTGTGTATATGTATTTACACATTTGTGTGCACATGTATATTTGGACGCATGGTCTTGCGCCTAAATATTTGTGTGTTCATATGTGTATCCTACTCTGGCCTGTCAGATCATGATGGCCTCCAGAAGGTGGCAGCCATGCTGTGGCAGAAGCAGACCGGCAGGTGACTGGCAGCTTGACCAATTCTGTCTTGTGAAGTGACCAACTGGTTCCGTCACTTCTAGTCAGAGTACCCTATCCCCAAAGAATTTACCCTGACAGACAAGGGAGCTTAGAAGGACGGGCAGGCATATGAGAAGCAGGGCTCTGTGGTGACACATGGTGATCTGAGATGAGCAATGCTTTGTTGAGGAATTTTTTTTATAGGTTTGGTAATGATACAGGCTAAGGTATGTGATGGTTGCCTCTGAGCCACATAGTGTGGGCAGCTGGTCTGCCTGCTTAGTGAGTGCCTGTTGGGGCAACCTTCGTGAATCTTCATCATCAAGGCAGTGCCTAAACTTTCAAAGGACATGGGCATTGACCAGAGGTTTAGGCCCTCCAGACTTTTTTTGTTTTGGACAGAACAATGACAGGTGTGCAAGTGACTCGGTGAGATCCAGAGACTGGACAGTCTGAGAAATGAGTGGCAATGAGTTCTCTGACCACATTTTCTCTGCTCATTCTGTTCCAGGGATAAACGCCCAGGCCCGGAGGCTGCAGCGCGTCCGTGCCAAGGGAACCCCAGCCCTCACCTCTGAGGCTGCCCAGAGCTCCCCACCGACCCGGCTGCGCCGTACTGTCAGTGAGACCAGCCTAAGTCCAGTGTCCGCACTACCTGACGCTGCCCAGAGCCCCGAGGAGCCCACCCCTGATAGCATGCGCTACTCACTGTACCAGTGTCCACACCTCCTGCTGTTGCAGGGCTATAGCCAGCAGCATGTGAGCCACTCTTAGTCCCCAGTACCACTGTCTCTTAGAGTAAGGACTTGGAGGTCAGGTGTCACCCTGCCTCCAACAGAGGCAGCTGTGGGATCGCCCCTCAGGCTGGGAAGACACTGTGGAAGTGGGAGGTGGCTTGCTGTCTGTGTCCTCTGCCTAGGCACCAGCAGGGAACAGCGAGACAAGGGCTGTCACTGAACTCATCCCTCACTGGGTCTTTGTGCTAGACCACTTTCCAGCTTCTTTCTCAGGCCTTTGGGACAGGGATGTGTGTGTGTGTGTGTGTGTGTGTGTGTGTGTGTGTGTATGTGAGAGTGAGAGTGGGGGGGGGAGGGAGGGGGAGAGGGGGAAGGAGGGAGTGGGTCTCCTTGGTCAGGTAACAGTGGGAACTAATCACGACTTGCTAACTGTGTTGTTCTAGCTCCTTCTTCTCATCCCTCCCCTCCCCTCCCTCCTACCCCCTTTTTAAAACAATGTTTTCCTATGTAGCCCAGGCTGGTACAAAACTCACTATGTCAAGACAGCAGGTCTTGAATGAGGTCCTTCTGCTTCAGCTTCTCCCCCAGAGATGATTGGCCTGTGCCAGCAGACCAGGTTCCCGGAGCCGTTTCTTACTTCTTTATCTGAGTCTCAAGGAGCCAGCCCTAGGTGACATCCTCTTGTCACTGATCTTTCCTTTGCCCCTTCCTGCTGTGTTCTCTGGGCCTCTCTCAGCATCTTAGGTTACTGTGCTCAGTCTCAAGAGATGCCCCGGCCTGAGCTGAGAACTGAGGACCAGGGCCTACACTGCTTTCGGGGGCAGGGTGGCGTGGGGAGTTTGACAGCCCTCAGCTCATGACTGTCAGACCAAGCATTGTCCTTGTCTCTTGATTCATCTCTTTTATATAGGGAAGCCATGTCCTCTGGGACAGGCCGGGGTGGCCAGGGGAGGATTACCAAGGTGATGGGTTCCTGGTGACTTTGGGGTGGGTGGCCCAGGGTATGAGGAGTCCTGGGAACAGAACCTCAGAAGATCCAGTTGCTGTAACAGCATCACCGCTGTGCTGGTGCTGGCATGACGAGTGTCATGCCCGTCCTAAGTCGTCTGTCTGCTCTTTAGGACAGCCTGGTGTACGTGCTCAGCCGGGAACGGCACACGGTGGGCCAGCGCACACCCTCCAGCAAACCCAGCATCAGCCTGTCTGCCCCAGACATCCTGCCCCTGCACTGCACAATTCGCCGTCACCAGTCCCCAGAAGGTGGCCAGGCAGGGACCAAGCTAGTGCTGGAGCCCATCGCAGGGGCGTCGGTTTCAGTCAACTTCTCTGAAGTGGGAAGGAATCCTGTGGTGCTACAACACGGTGACCTGCTCTCCTTGGGTCTCTATTACTTGCTGCTGTTCAAGGACCCTGGGCAGGCACAGCCACTACCTGCCTGTGCCATTGCCCGCCTTGGGGCCGCACCACAGAACTGTAGGATGTGTGGTGCGGTGCTCAGAGCCCGTGGGGTCACTTCCTTGCCTCCAGCTGTGGTCCGGCGGCGGTCACTGCTCCTGGAGTTTGAGCCTGACGTGGAGGACACTCTGCTGCAGAGGATCATGACGCTGATTGAGCCTGGTGGAGATGACCACAAGCTGACACCTGCCTTCCTCCTCTGTCTCTGCATCCAGCACTCTGCCACTCACTTCCAGCCTGGTACCTTCAGGCATCTCCTGCTCAAGATCTCCAAGAGAGTCCGAGACACCGTCTGGGTGCGTGGGGGTGACAGCCTGTGGTAGATGGCTGGGCTCTGCCTGCCAGGGTTGAAGTTCTGCCCCTACTCAGATGTCCCCATAGTGATGTCAGGCTGGGGAAAGGGCTGGGCTTTCCATCTACACTTCCCCATTCCATAGGCCACCAGACTGGGCATTATAGGCCTCAGTGTAGCATGTCACTTTCAGAGTGAATCTGAGCCTTGCACTGTCCACAGTCTAGTGCCCTGTGGTTTCCACCAGGTCAGTTTGGTGATGGGGCCACAGGACAGTCAGCTGTTGGCACATTCCCTCCAGGTCAGGGTGTCTCAACCTCGGCCAATAGCCCGGGGACGGGGGTGGGTGGTGGTGGTGGTGAGGGGGGTGGGGGGTTGGGGCAGAATTCCTCACTGTGAAGCCAGTCCTTGTATCTCTCATGGGGTACTTAGTCAGTGTCCATGGCCTCTCCCACTTCAGGCTATCCCCTCCCTGGCCACACACACAAAGGACTCTTCCATCAAAAGCTCAGCGGTGCCACCTGTTGGGCTGGGCAAGCAAAAGCATTGGAATAGGCTGCTTGGTGTGGCCCAAGGTCTCAGCCACTGCTGGCTCTTGCCCTGAAGGTGACCTGACTCCTTGGGACCAAAGGGGTCCATGTTGCTCAGGGTTGTTAGAGACTCTCAAGAATCTTGACTTTGCTCGTCCAGGAGCATCTCTGTGATCCCAGGATTCAGGACCAGAGAGGTGTGGACCCCAGGGGTCAGTCAGTTTAGTTAAAACAGTTCCAGCCTCAGTGAGAGGCCCTATCTCTAAATAAATAAGTAAATAAGGTAGGGAGTGATAGAGGAACTCTCTCTCTCTCTCTCTCTCTCTCTCTCTCTCTCTCTCTCACACACACACACACACACACACACACACACACAGTGCACGCTGGAACATAACAGGAAGCAGATGACAAGACCGCTCATTTTGTTTGTAGAGTGTTTGCCCAATTGCTCCTCGTCGCTGTTGGGTGAAATAGAGACTGTGCTGTTTCGTCATAGGAGGTCTGTGGGTCATATGCAGCAGTCAGGAGAAGCTGGAATTGGTGGGAAAGCTTCTGGGAGTGGAAAAGGTGTAGCTGAGAGGGGATAGCAGGGTCCAGGTGTCTCTGGTCGCCTGCCATGTTTTTCACGGTGATGGAGTGATATGTATTGAGGAGTGGGTTCTTTATCCCTGTGTGGGTGTGTGTGGGGATGTGGGTACCTGTTCCATTGTGCATGTGTGGAGGTCAGAGAACAACGTAAGAAATCAGCTCTCCCTTTCTACCTTTTCAGTAACATTTGTTGAGGAAAACTAAAAGTTTATGAAACTAGTAGATAGGGGTTTAATTTTTGTTATGAGAGGAATTGCTCTCATCAAAGATGGAGAATATAGGACTTTGTGTAATACAGCTTTTAGAAATAGGGGCCCTAGGATTGGAGAGATGGCTCAGCACTTAGGAGCACTTGCTATTCTTGCAGAGAATGCACAACAGATAGTTCACAACTGCCTGTAACTTCAGTTTCTGCAGATCTGATGACCTCTTACGACCTCCAAGGGCACTGCACACGTGGTGCACATACATACATACAATCAGATGCTCTCACACACATAGACTTAAAAATAAAGATTTAAAAAAGAGGTCCAGGCATAGTAGTGCACACCTTTAACCCCACCCAGTATTTGGGAGGCAGAGGCAATCAGATCTCTGTGAGTTCAAGGCCTGACTAGTCTACATGTCCATAGTGAGTTCCAAGACAGCCAAGGTTATATAGAGACCTGACCTCAAAGAGAAAGAATGAAAGAAAAGAAAAAGAAATAGAGGTCCTTAATCTAGAAAATAAGACCTTTAATTTAAAAAAAAAATATTGCTGTTAACTTGTTTATTTGAGACAGGGTCTCCCAGCCCAGGCTGGCCTTGAACTTTCCCTTTTTCTGCCCTGTCTCCCAGATGAGAGTGCTGGGTTTTCAGATGTGTGCAGCTCTGCCCTCTGATAATATCTTCAGTGCTGGGAGAGCTGAAGTTTTATCATCTGCCCATGCCTGTGTCACCCTTGCCAGATTTGAGAGTTCTGTAGGGAAGTCCCCACTACGAAAAGTGGTCCAGGCAGTCCTTTTAACATTAAATAAACCTGAAAAGATGTGCCAGGGTGTAGTGACTCCCCGCATCCCCTGAAGCAGCCCTTAACCCCTGTGGCTGCCACAGTAGAGAGTACCACCTCACAATGGGGCGCTCGCAGCCGGCCTGCAGCTCTAAGACCCTGCAGCGCGCCCGCTCCTTGCTTCACTTTAATGTGGGTTCTGGGGATAGAACTTAGTGACTGTGTGACAAGCACATGTCCCACTGAGCCATCCCGCAGGCCCAGGATGATGTGTATTTGAATATCCCTGTGCTATCCTGTTTTTCTCATATTTGCTTTTGTCTTGCTTGTTCTTTTATAGGAGAAAACCAAAGAGCTAGCGGAAAAGCAGGCGCAACTGTAAGTGTGACCTAGTTATTGTTTCTCCCTTGCAACATTGAGTTCCCTGCAGGCAACGTGGGCTCGGCTCCAGACTTCAGCCACTGCCCTCCTACTCCTCTTTCCTAACCACCCTGGGAAGCTGTGTGGAAAATTTCCTAGGTAGGCCTGGTGGTGCAAGCACATGACATCTGTGCTGTTTAGGATTGAGACAGGAGGATTGCAAGTTCAAGGCGTGCCAGCGCTACATAGTGAGTACAAGCCCAGCCTGTCTCAAATTAAAAAGTTAAAGCAGGCCTGGGGACGTATCTCAGTGGTAGAGCACCTGCCTAGAATCCCACGATGAGTTGAAGGAGTGACAGCATAGATAACTTGCCTAGCACTGGGGAGGTCCCAGATTCAATCATCAGTACTAAAACAACAACAAACATGCCACAAAAGGTGTACCTGGTAGAACAGTTTGCCTAGCAACACACACACACACACACACACACACACACACACACACACACACCAGTTGCCTAGCAACACGCACGCATGCATGCACACTAAATTCCCCAGAGCGTCTTTAACACAGAGAGGAGAGGTCTTTTCTGAGTCTTCCCACAGCTTATTCCCCGGTTAAAGCATCCTAGCCCAGCCTCAGTGGAAAGCATATCTGTATGCTTGCATCTCTGGTGGGCCTTGGTGGATGATCTGGATTATCTGTCATCAGACATGCTGACACTGAGCCCATAGCACCTGACCTTCCAAAATGGAAGCCTTCATGAGATGCCCTCTCTGGGAAAACTCTCAGGGTAGCTGTGGCATGCTATACGGTATATACACAGAGAGTCTGGGAACTGTAGCCTAAGCTCTTCCAGCATACTAGTACTGAAAAATAATGTCCAGAAAAGCTTGCCCAGCGCAGGGGATATGTCTTATTGGGTAGAGTGCTTGCTTGGCATGAAGGAGGCCCTGGGTTCCATCCCCAGCACCCCATAAACCAGGAGTTGGGGGTCCCTGCTTATCATCCCAGCACTCAGAAGTAAAGGTAGGAGAATCAGAAGTTCAAGGTCATCCTTGGTTCATAGTGAGTTTGAGGTCAACCTGAGATGCCCGAGACCCTGCATTTAAAAGAACAGGACACCAGACAGTACCTGTGACTTGTGAGTGTTTGCACACATGAGTGAAGCCCATGAAGCCATGCTGTCATTCTAATGCTCAGCTCAAGGTGGTCTTGGAATTGGAACACTCAAGGAAGGGACTGGAACTGGGGAACCAAGGGCCCCACCTGCTGGTGGCATGCTCCTACTTCAGGATGAGCAGCATGCAGTTGGTATGGGTGCTACAGAGTTGTTCAACCTCTTTGTACAATAGGCTCAAAAGATGTACACAGTCAGGACACAGCGCTGGGGCCCTGCCATCCTCAGTGCCCACCAGGTGAGGATTGGGCTCAGGCTACCTCCCATTCCTGTCAGTGTCCCAAGCCAGAGCCAGGTAAGGCCACTGACTGGGAGAGGGAGCCAGGACCCTTGGGCATTCGGGAGACCAGGTGCTGCTCCCTGGCCTCACAGGGCTCTATGCACAATAACTAGGGACAGCACTGGTCCCAAAGGATGGTTGACAGCATGGCAGTTCTCCGAAGAGTTGCAAAGGTATTGGTCCTGTTCAGTTAGGATGAAGGGCTTTGGCTCAGAACAGCCAGGCTTGAGGAAACTGAGGGTGTGTGGAGATGATGGGAAACTGCTAGGCACTCCTCCTGTTTCACCCAGAAGTGCAGGTCAGACTAGAACCTTCCATCCCAGGGCCTACCTGCCAGGGTGGCCGAGGGCCTTGGCTTGCCTGGGTTGAAAGAGGTGTAGGCCCAAGGTAGGCCCTGCTTCCCTACTGTCAGAAAGAGCCATGGCCTCCCCTGTAGCATTATTGTTTCTGCTGTATCTCCAGAACTTCCATCCCTAATGCATGCTCATGCCTTTCTTTTTAAAATTCCAAAATAATGAATCACTACAGGAACACAGAACAGTACGAACACATCGGCCAGTCTCATGAATTCACCAATGTCCAGGCTTAGCCTGGTTACAGGCTGCGAGATCTCCATCTCTATCTCTCTTCTCTGTCTGAGAGTTAACACTCTGCTGTGTAGACATGGGGTCTGCTTCCCACCTCTCCTCGCCTGGCAGCCATCCACTTCTGGTCCAAGCTCTTCATGTTACTGACAGAATACCAGAGAGAAACAGCTTAAAGGAGGGAAAGTTTGTTTTGGCTCCTGGCTTCTCCTGAGGGCCAGGCTTGAACCCCTGTGCGCTGTGGTGAGGCAGCATCCTAGCAGCAGGGAGAGGAGCAGTTGCTCACCTTGTGGCAGCCAGGAAGCAGGGGAGAGAAGTGACTACCTCTGCCGGCAGGCTCCTTCCTCCCCTCCCGTGCTCCTCAGCCTGTGCAGTGGCGTCACCCACATTTAGCACATTTAGGGAGGGACTCTACACCATGTCATTGGTCCCAGCCCTTGAAAATTTGAATTAGGACATCACTGTTCAGCCCAAGCTAGTCTGGAAGTCATTGTCTAGCCTAGAACGCAAGAGCTTCCTATCGCTCCCTCTTAAGTGCTGGGACGGGGATCATAGGTGAGTGTTGCCATGCCCATTTATCCAGCCTGCTTATGAGTGTTAAAGGATTTGTGTTGTTTCTGTGTCCTTCAAAAACACTTTCCCATGTAGTTGGATTTTAGAAACTCCCTTAGCGGTTTCAAAGTTACTCATCAATAGTAACGTCTTAGGTAGGGAGATGAGTTAGTTGATAAAGTATTTGCCTGAATCTTGAGAACTTGAGTTCTGAGTTTAATGCACAGAACTCACTAAAACAAGCAAGCAAACAACAACAACAAAAACCCCATACATAGTAGCATGCTTGTAGTCCCAGTACTGGAGATGGAGAAACAGGTAGACCACCCCCCAGGGCTCACTGGCTGGTCAGTCAGCTTATTCACTGAGCCTAAGATCAATGAGAGACCCTTTCTCTAAAATCAAAATGGGCAGTGCTCCCAAGGTCCATTATGTTAGGTGGTTCTCTGAACTACACACACACACACACACACACACACACACACACACACCATACTCACATCCCATAAATACACACCACAGCACACCTACACTACACACCCCCACAACATATTCACATCCCACACACATAATACACACATACACACCATATTGTATCACACATACACGCACACCCCCCCCACCATACTCACATCTCACACATAACATACACACATACACACAGAGCAGAAATGGACACATTTTTCTGACCCCAAGTTCAAGTGGTGGGTCACCACACAGCTGCACAAAATCACCCCAGGATGACATGAGCCAGGAGGGAAACAGTCCACACTGAGGGAGGGGAACCAGAAATAATGATTAGGGGGTAAAAAAACAAACACTGGTAAGAAAAAGAACAAGGCTAAGTCAAGATAAACACAGATTAGAAATGCAAATTACAGCGCAAGGTGCCTTGGGAAATGATAGGGCTGGGACTGGAGCAAAACAAGTAATGGAGAGGCAAACAGGGAGGCCAAGGCAGAGAAAGAACGTTTGTGTGGTGGGGTCAGGGGTGTGGGGGGTGGGGTGGGACGTGGGGGGTGGGGAGTGGGGTCAGGGGTATGTGTGGGGGTGTGGGTGTATTGGGGTGAGGTGTAGGTGGGGTGGGGTGTATTAGGGGTGTATGTGGGGGGTATGAGATGTGTGTGTGTGTGTGTGTGTGTGTGTGTGGTGTGTGGTGTGTGTGTGTGGTGTGTGTGTGTGTGTGGTGTGTGTGTGTGTGTGTGTGGTATATGTAGAGGTGTGTGGTGTGTGTGTGTGTGTGGTGTGTGTGTGTGTATGTGTGTGTGTATATGTGGTGTGTGTGTGTGTATGTGTGGTGTGTGTGTGTGTGTGTGGTATATGTAGAGGTGTGTGGTGTGTGTGTGGTGTGTGTGTGTGTGTGGTGTGTGTGTGTGTGGTATATGTAGAGGTGTGTGGTGTGTGTGTGTGTGTGGTATATGTAGAGGTGTGTGGTGTGTGTGTGTGGTGTGTGTGTGTGTATGTGTGTGTGTATGTGTGGTGTGTGTGTGTGTGTGTGTGTGGTGTGTGGTGTGTGTGTGTGTGGTATATGTAGAGTTGTGTGGTGTGTGTGTGTGTGGTGTGTGTGTGTGTGTGTGTGTGTGTGGTGTGGTGTATATGTGAAGAGGGGGTAATGCGTGCCCCTGCAGAGGTCAGAGGAGACCCTGACCTTCTCTAGCATTCTGCCTTATTCCCTAGAGATAGTGTCTTTCACCAAGCCTGGAACTCACTAATGTTCATAGGTTGCTGGCCAGCCAGAGAGCTCCCAGGGCCCTCCTTGCTTAGAGAGGCCACTTTACTCTGTGCTGTTGCTGCCTGGGCTTTCTAGGCAGTAAGATACATGCTGCTTTACTTCGAAGTGTGGGGCTTCCCACCCACCTTGAGTTCTCGGGGAAACTGAGGAAGGCAATGCATTTTGAAAACAAAATGGAGTTGGGCTCCAGACAGTCAAATGAATGCTCTTTCAACCGTGTGCAACTCTTAAGCACACCAGTGTCTAAGTCAAGCAGGGTAGAAAACCAACAAGACTCGAAGCTGTGCCAGCTCCACTGGGAGGCCGCAGCTGACACAGGAGAGGTGGACCGCCAGTTCTTCCTCCACCCAGGCACGGGACAGAGAGGTCACCAATGTTTGTGGACTAAAGTGAAATTAATGGCTGGGTAGAGGCTGGGACAGCAGGGGAGAGTCTGATAGCCCTGGGGCTGCAGGACAAAGGCCAGACCCTCCCTCCTGACTCCCTCACATTGGCCCCATTTAGTCCCCAGATGTTTCCATGGGTGTGGCCCTTTCCTGAGCAGCCCCAGGCTGTGTAGAAACATCATCAAAAGTCAGGCACTTGTGGCTCCACAGTCTTTTACTTCGGGAGCCCCATGCCTGCTTCTAGCCATGCATATCTGGATGCCCTGTGATAGGTGGAAAAGCAGCCCCCCCCCCGAACTTGCCCAGTGAGGGACACTGAAGCCACCAGTGAGAGATTCTGGGACTTTTATCTCCTATGAGAAAAGAGTCAGATCTTGGGGTGATCCTTCTGAGGGAGGGTGACTGCAGAGGCAGATACCTCGATGGCTTGGTCAGAAGATGTGGCAGTAGAAGCTTGCATCCTAAGCCTTAGGCATCTGGTGGTGAGGCATTGTGTGGGTGCATGATAGTGCCAGCTTTTGGAAAGCTGAGGCAGGAAGTTCACTGATTCAAGGCCAGCCTGGACTACGTGTCAAAATTCTGCATGAATGAATGAATGAATAAATAAATAAATAAAATGAATTCATGTTGACATTTTAGTGAATTGTAAACACCCTAAGTGTAGTCCCAAGAGGAGTCCCAAGAGTCTGGTTAGGACAATAAATAGTAGATGCAAGTCACATTGAAGGATTGACACCCACACAGTTCTTGGGGTTGATGTGTGAGACTCAGCAGGGGAGATGGTTTGGGGTGGCCTAGTGACTAATAGTGCTAGAAGGACATCAAGGGAAGCAGGTGCCAATCATTGCACTGTCCTCTGCAAAGGGGATGCTTAGTTAGAAGGCAGCAAGCCTGGGATGAATGGGACTTTGTCCCTGGCTGGCTATGGCAGGGGTTGGAGCTGCCCCGGGAACTCCCCCTGGTGCCAGGTACCTGGTAGCCCCTTGACTGGTGCCTGATTCTGTTTTCATTAACCAAAGTAACAGTGCCTCCATGTGGATAGCACACCAAACTGCAGAAGGGTGTGTGGAAACTGGAAATGTCCTGATCCCCTTAGACCTCAGGAGGTGACCTCCAATGACTGTGTCCACACCGGCATTTTCCTTCCAGTGGTTACTTCTAAGTCTGAAGAACATGCTTTGCTTTCTACCTGATTTCTTTTCTCATGGTACTATGGATTGAACCCAGCGTCTTGCACAAGCTAGACAGATGCTCTACCCTCCCTCATTGATTGTAGGCAAGTGTTCTACTAGTGAGCCACACCCCCACTGGGGGATTCTAGGCAGGGCTCTACCACTGAGCCACACCCCAGCCCCTCACTGGGGGATTCTAGGCAGGGCTCTACCACTGAGCTCCATCCTCACCACTGATTGCTGCCTCTTGATTCATGAGCTTCACACATTCCTGACATCCTCACCTGATTAATATTTAACTAATCTCAGATAGTTCAGTCAATCTGTTTCTTCTGAGATTTTTCTTGTTAAATAATCTGTTAAAGCTATTCCTTTGTCTAAATAACACCCAGAAGCCATGGACAGTAAGCCTACCACCCCTATGCATGTGTGTATGTGTGTGGTACACGAATGCTGTAGCTCTCACAGCTGCTTCCAGAAGAAAAGCTGTGGAGGCAGCATTCTAGCAAGAGTCCTCTCCTGGTAGATTTTGGAACCTGTAATAGGTTCCTGACTTCTTGGGAGTTGACAGCAGTCCTTGCTTCTGCTAGTGTCCCATGAGCATGCTTGTCCCCATGCAGACAGAGAGGCAGAAATGGCTCCTCATCTGCACCCAGAATAATCTGTTGGTCTTTCTGTCTTGGTAGCCAAGAGCCCATCTCCTGGGCCAGCTTCCCCATGGCCGACCTGGTCCCCGACCTTCAGCACATCCTGTTTTGGATGTCAAACTCCATCGAACTCCTGTACTTCATCCAGCAGAAGTGCCCTCTGTACATGCAGAACATGGAGGAGGAGCTGGATGTCACCGGTATGGCCTCTGCAGTGCAGTGCCCCAGGCCCATGGCTGTCTTCAGGCCACACTTGACAGTGGGCACAGCAGGGACTTCGTGCACATGTGCCTGTACAGGGTGGTGCTCCTCAGGCCAGACATTTGGGGATCACATGAGGCCAGCATCTGTAGTTTAGGCTGACCTGATGCCCCTAGGGTCTGCTGTGTGACCCTTTGCTGGTACATATCACCTCGTGTCCCGTGCACACTGTAACTTGTTCTGTTCCACTTATGGGAGGCTGACGTTGTGCACAAGCCACTTGGAGGGGACACATGAGCATACAGTTAACCAAATGAGGGGCTTAGACATTCATCCCTATTCCAGAAGGGAAGATGTTGCCAATCATAGCTGCAAGATGGTGTATCAGTTTCAGAGATGGAAATATGGGCAGCATGTCTTAAATTAGCATTTCCAAATACTCAAATTCCTAAAACACTCCAGGAGAGGCAGTTCTGCTGAGGGGGGAGTGGGGGTGGGGTGTGGGCTCTATGAAGATGACACTGAGCTGTGCGAAGGAAGTGGCTGGGTTGTAAAGTGCCAGCTGTACAAACATGAGGACCCGGATGTTGTCTCCAGCATTCAAGTAAAAAGCCTGGGGGGGGGGTGCGCACTTGTCCCCACACTCATAACCCTGGAAGACAGGAGCCTGGGCTAAAAAGTGAGTCCCAGCCCCAAGCAGAGACCCTGTCTGCAAAACCAAGGTAGACAGCCCCCAAGGAGTGACACTGGAGCTTGTTTTCTGGTCTCCAGACACATGTGCATGCATGTGTGCACATTCATGGACACATGCATATAATTGCCTAGAAAAAAGAAGGGTAGCTCAATTAGTAGCTGAATTCCATTCCCCTGCCTCGCCACACACACACACACACACACAGAGAGAGAGAGAGAGAGAGAGAGAGAGAGAGAGAGAGAGAGAGAGAGAAGCCAGTCCTTGTGGCACATGCTTGTAATCCCAGTGCTGGAACAAATAAATAAAGCAGGATTGGGAGTGCTGGGGTGACAGGCAGAGCCCTCAGCAGGGAACTAGACAGGTGAGGGAGTCCTGGCTGCTGCTGACTGACTGGGTGGGCCCACATGTGCAGGCTGTGCTGGTGACCCTCCTCTTGTGACCCCGTCCTTTGCAGGCTCCAAGGAATCGCTGTTCTCCTGCACACTGACGGCCAGCGAGGAGGCCATGGCGGCCCTGGAGGAGGTGGTACTCTATGCTTTCCAGCAGTGTGTGTATTACCTCTCCAAGGTGTGTGTTGCCACCATGCTATTGATGGTAGCTTTCCTAGGGCCTTGGGAAAGGAGGGAAGGGACTGAGATGAGCCAGTTTCAGCAGGGAGAAAGCAGCCACTGGTTCTGCTCTGGCCCTGGGGGTGCCCTCTTCTCCAGCCCGTCCATACACCAGGAGTGCCAGCCACCACGGTGCAGCCTTGCAGTCAGTGGTCATGGTGCCTTTTATACCACTGCTAGCTAACTGCCATGTCCAGCCTGTTTGCACCAGCAGCTCCTGTTCCTGATTCTATTAGTTCAGGAGCAGCTCCTGCTGGGCCTCATTCTAACCTATTGCCTAAGGCTAGAACAGGAGCTTGTTAGATTGGGGACTCCTGGGTCAGTCCCAGCATCCCTGTAAGTGACTCTTGGGGTTCTCTCTCCTGGCAGTGTCTGTATGTCTGCCTCCCGGCCCTCTTGGAATGTCCTCCATTTCAGACAGAGCGCAGGGAGAGCTGGCGCTCAGGCCCGGCTCTGCCGGAGGAGCTTCGGCGCGTTGTGTCAGTGTTCCAGGCCACCTCGGACCTCCTGCAGCAGCTGCAGATGCACCCTGAGGTGGCCTCCCAGATGCTTGCTTACCTCTTCTTCTTCTCTGGCACACTGCTCCTCAACCAGGTGCTGGACAAGGGTGAGTGGTGCTTGGGGCAGGGGTCTGACTCCTTTGGAAAAGCTACAGTAATGCAAGGAAACACTCTGCTGTGGCTGGATGCCAGAGCTGTGCCTGGAGGAGGGTGGCTCAAGACCCAGGGCAGACAAAAGCTCAGAGCCAGCAGAAGGCCAGACCAAAGCAGCTTTGCAGGGTCACACTGATGCTGACCCTTGGCCCCGCCTTACTGCATTTCTCCATCACCTGCTGGGGCTCTGGGTATCTTACAGGGTACAGGCCCAACATGAGTCTATTGCCACATAGACAGGGTGATGTAGGGCTGGAGGGGTAGGGGTGGCGGCTGGCACAGCCCCTCTTGTACCTTGCCTCCTTCATCTCTTTCTACCTCTGCCCCAGAAGGGGCATAGCTAGTTGGTGTTGCCTTGGAAACTGAGATGGGGTGTTGGGGTGGCCTGTAGAGGGAGGGTGTGCTTCGGGAACCCTGGTGTGTGGGTCTTATCCTTTCTTCCCTCTCCAGGGCCCTCTCTGAGTTGCTTCCATTGGCCCAGGGGTGTCCAGGCCTGCGCCCGCCTACAGCAGTTCCTCGAGTGGGCCAGGAGTGCTGGGCTGGGAACACCAGCTGAGCATTTCTTCCGGAAGCTCTCTTGCACCCTGCATTTGCTGGCCACTCCCAGTGCTCAGCTTGTCCAGGTAGGAGAGCACAGGGAACACATGCAAAGAAGGGCATGTGACTCTAGAGCCGCTGCCTTACAAATCAAGTTAGGGTGGCCTGAACCCTGCACCCAGAAAATCTCACATATTCCCTAGGTTACTCATGGAGTTGCTTAGCTCCTCAACTGTCCCCATCCACACCGGGCTGAGTAATCTCATAGGTGTCTGTGGGCAGTCCCTGGGCCCTGCACTGGTTACTCCGTGTGGCAAAGGGCATTCTGCAAGTGTGATCAAGATGAAGGACCTGAAGAGAAGGGCATGACCTATGTCCCTCACTGGGCCCGTCTAATCAGACAGACCCATAGAGTGGGCCAGATAGTTGGGTGTCAGGAGGGAGAGGGCTCAGCTCACAGTGGCTGCTGTCAAGAGCCTGGGAGTTTGGTGGAAGCTGGGACAGTCCCAGCCCAGCCATCCCAGAAACACAGCCTCATTCCCGTGGCCCTGAGGAACTGAACTCACAACAGATGTGAGGAAGTAGTTCTTCCTCTAGAGCTGTGGTCCTCAACCCTCCTAATGCTGTGGCCCTTTCACACAGTTCCTTATTGTGCATGACCCCAACCATAGAACTATTTTTATTGCTACTTCATAACTGTACTTTTGCTGCTGTTATGAATCGTAATGCAAATGTTTTTGGAGATAGAGGTTTGCCAGAAGGGGTCACAACCCACAGGTTGAGAACCACTGTCCTAGAAACACCCCAGTCAGCCCTGCAGGACTGCACACTTGAATTGCTTCTTCCTTGAGTTCATGGTCTTCCACCAGAGCAACAGGAAACTCCCTCCTGCTTCCTCCTCCTCCCTCCTCCCTCCTCCCTCCTCCCTCCTCCCCTCCAGTCTTGCTACCCTCTTCCTCAGAGCATCTGTCCCGGTGGCTAATGGAAGCTTTGCAATGATTCCTTCTCCTATGTGGACCTCTGGCCTCATCCTGAGATGGTGAACATCTTCAGGGACGGGGGTGGAGCATCCCTCATTAAATCTGCCCTCTGTTGCCCAGGGACATGAGTTCAAAGCTCCCTGGGTAACATGGCCACATTGTCAGCCTCAGGCAAAGCCCTGGGCAGGCTTGGGACAGCCAGCTGATCAGAAAGAGTGGTCCCAGGCGTGGTGGCTCATGCCTGTAATCCCAGCACTCTAGAAGCAGAAACAGGAGGGTTGTTGCAAGGCTGAGGCTACTGGACCACATAGTGGGTTCCAGGCCAGCCTGAACTACATGTGGAGATCTTATCTTTAAAAAGTTGTAAAAAAGGAAAAAGCTATTCTTCCTGCAGCTTCACACCTGTGTCTCAGCACCACTGATGTTGATGACGGTGGCTGCTTTACCACTGAGACCCTGCTGCCACCCCCAGCTGCGCAGCAGTCTGAGTGGGCAGCACGGTACCCCACCCCTTCTGTGGAAAGCAAAGCTGAGGTCACACAGGGAGTGTGCAGGGGAGCCGTGGCTCCAGACGTGGCTCCTCATGTTCTTTGTCTGCTCAGCAAGTATTGAAAATGTCCTCTGTTAGGAACTGTGCGTGTACAATTTCATTTCTTTACTTATTTGTGTGTATGTGTGTGTGCCCGCATACTTGTGCACAGTGAGTGTAAGGAGTTCAGGGGACAGCTGGCAGGAGGCTGCTCTCTGCTCCCACCGTGGAACTCAGGCCAGTAAATGTGACCAAGAGCCTTTTTTACCTGCTGCTGAGACATGCCACCAGGCCCAAGGGAAGTGTGATTTACATGAAGTCCCCTGGGACTGGAGTTAACTGCTGGTTGTGAGCCGTGTGACCTGGGTGCTGGGAACTGACCTTGGATCCTCTGAAAGAGCAGCAAGTACAATTAACTGCTGAAGCATCGCTCCGGCCCCATTAATTAAATACTATATTTATTTATTGTGTGTGAGTGTGTGTATGGGCAAGTGTATATTTGGAGCTCAGAGGACAACTTGCAGGAGTTGGTTCTCTCTGTCCACCATGTGGGTCTTGGAACTTCCACTCGGGTCATGGGGTGACAGGCGCTTTTACTGGCTGAGCCATCTGGCTGGTTCAGGACCCTGGTCTAAATAAACAGAACCAAGCAAGAGTTCTTGCAAATTAAAACTACAGGCCCAGTGGAGGGGTAGGAAGTTAAGAGCGAAGGAAATCTTCCCCAAACACCAGAAAGAGGAGCAGGGAGGAGGAGTAGGGAGGATGTGATTCATGGCTGGTTCCCTCCCTGACAACTGAAGGGTTGGGGGGCAAACCACAGAATTGGGAAGGAGACAGAAAAAAGAAACATCCCCTTCCCCTGTGAGTTCTGGGCTCGGGGTGTGTGTGGAGGGGCTGCCAGCAAGGGTGTGGCCCTGGGATCAGCTCCTATCCCTCCTCTAGCAGCCCTGCGGGTCTGGCTGTCCCTGGGGCAGACTCTGGATAGCCCAGGAGAATCAAGTCATGGAGAGAGAGAGGAAGAAAAGGTAGAAAAAACGGAGCCAGAGAAGCTGGTGGTGGGAGGCAGCAGTCTGGCCTTACTCTGACCCCAAGGGACTTTACCAAGAGTTTTGGCACCATGGACAGGGACAACCTAGCGCCTCCCAGGCAGACTAATACAAGATAAAGGACTCTTGAGACTGGGAAACCTTTTGTTTGTTTGTTTCTTGAGACAGGGTTTCTTTGTGTAACAGCCCTGGCTGTTCTGGAACTCACTTTGTAGACCAGGCTGGCCTTGAACTGAGAAATCTGTCTGCCTCTGCCTCCTGAGCACTGGGATTAAAGGCATGTGCCACCACCAGCTGGCTGAAGGGAGACTTCTTAAGAATTAAGAACCCACCTGGAAGTCTGAAATCTACCTCTAAATTCTGCAGCCCAGAACCCTGCAAGCAAGGAGAAACTTCCAGCGTAAAGTTGCTGTCGCTGTCCCCTGGGCTTTTGTCATGAGGCCATAGAGGGCCTGTGCCACTGTACAACACAAGGGATGAGGGAGAAAAAAAAAAAAAAAAAAAAAAGGTGCCAGGCTGGGGAAGGAGAAAGGGTGACCAAATGGCTAGCTTGGCTGTTGTTGGAGGACCACATTTCTGCTTTTGTTTAACTCCCGATCCCCCCCCCCCGTCGTCAGCTCCCGAGAGTGCTGGGATTAAAAGTGGGCACCACTCTGCCTGGCTGTCCGTTTGTTTTGTCCTGACCTCAGTCAGGTCGCACAGCACCTAGATGAAGCTGTTTCTGCCGTTCACAGACATACATGCTTTCTTCCTTCTCTCCCTTGCTCCTCTCTCCATCTTCTTGGGCTTCTTGAGCCAGGGTCTGTCTTTGTGTCCCAGGCCAGCCTCATCACTGTGGATAAGGTGCCAGTGTGGCTTCTTCTCTTCCATCCTCTCGCTGACTTTCCTGCTGTCTGCACTGCCCCGCCCGCCCGCCCACCCCTGGAGTGAGAAGACCAGGGGGCAGGGGCTAGAACCCTGTCAGGGGAAGGCAAGGGACTGCCTCATGCACCTGGAGGCCTTTGACCCTATCCTCTTGTCCCCAGATGAGCTGGGCCACCCTGCGGGCCACATTCCCTGCCCTGAACCCTGCTCAGCTGCACCGGCTGCTTACTCAGTACCAGCTGGCCTCTGCCATGGGCCCTATGAGTGCCTGGGAGCCAGGAGCTCAAGACAGCCCTGAGGCCTTCCAGTCAGGTAAGCCTTCCCAGCAGCCAAGCTTTGGGCTGAGGTGGGTGGAGTGGGTGGGGAGACTCCCAAGCTCAAACTCAGGGAAGCCCCAGAGCAGCCCACTGAGGTGGGAACACAGGAGCCCCGTACTCCCTGGCATCCCCCCCCTCAGGACCCTGCTATGCCCCCATCTCAGAGGGCTTCAGACTGGGGCCTGACTCGCACCTAGCTGGTCAGGACATGAATGGCAGGGTGGATTTCAAACCCTTCTGGAGACATTCCTCAGCTCTGAGCACATGTGCTGTTTACACACAGGCACATGGGCATGCCCTGGTGTTGCACTGGAGGTATATACATGTGTATATATATGTATGTGTACATTTCAGTTTGTAAGTTATACACATCTTCCTTCATAAACCTGTGTTCGCAGTGTGTAAACAGAAAGTGCAGGCTGGTAAACAGTAGGCTGTGGTGTGCATAAGGGCTTCATCACAATCTTCCTGTCACCTGCCACCGCTGACTGACCTGGGCCCCGAGGATGCCTCTAAATGGTGCTCTTGGCCCCACCTGGTCCCATTGGATCCCTCCCAACTTACTAATCTAATCAGTGGCAGAACATTCCCCCAACCCCATGCACCAGGCTCTGTGCTGGGAGCTCAGAAATGGCATCCCAGAAAGGTTCCTGCCTCCATCCTCATCCAGGACCTGCACATAATAGCATCCCTGTATCCTAATGATACATGTACGTGTGGGGGGGGGTGGGTGTATGGGTGTGTGTATGTATGTGTGGGGAGGGGGTCTGCTCAGTCTAGACAGCCCAGTCAGGATTCTAGAGAGGCTAGGCTGGGACTCATCCTGCTGAGGCCTTGCTGTCTTATGTCCTCAGTGGGTGGGTGAGGACCTGTGATGGAGGGAGTAGAGGTCAGGTCCCAGCATCCCTACTCACTCCACTGCAGAGGACATCTTGGAATCCTATGAAAACCCACCACCCATCGTTCTGCCGAGCCAGGGCTTCCAGGTTGACCTGGAGGCAGACTGCCTGGCGGACAGCATCTATCAGCACCTGCTCTACATCCGCCACTTCCTGTGGGGACTGCGGGGCCAAGCCAACCCTGAAAGTGGGCCTACCCAGCCTGAGGGCATTGAGGTAGGGTGGGGCAGGGTTGTTGGTAGGGAGGAACTGGGTCCCTCAGAGCAGCCTGTGGCTTGTAGCCATGAACTGAGATAGCCTTCCCTTGACCATCAGCAGAAGCAGGCACAGGTTGTCTAGAGTGGGCTGGGGGATGCAGTGGGTATGACCAAGAGATGGCGGGGCTCCATTTGAGGTGAAGGTTTGCAAACATCTTTACTTACTCTTTGTGCCTGGCATAGCCTGGCTGGACCCGTATCCTCTAGGGTGATTGTCTGTTTTCTCTGCAGGGAGGCACCACAGGCGCCTAGCCCATCCGCTTTCTGGGCCTCATGTGCTCTTCTCTTCCCAGGGCCTGTACCACACCATTCCTGAGGGCCATCCGGAAGGCCATGGCTGCCCCCTGGCTAACAGGGACCCAGGCAGAGGAGCTGTTGAGACTGCCCCTGCCCATTCTCTTTCTGTCACTGGAGCTCCCTGGACACAGGGCTCCCTCGGAAGGCAGCCTACCCGAAGGGGCTCCCAGGCTGGCTCTCTGCACACTGACTCCTCCTGCCTGCTCACTCCTCCAAGCACACCGCTGGGCCAGGAGCCTGGAGGCCCCACCTGGCCAGAGCCCAGTGGCCTCTGTGGAAAAGCACTCCTTGAAGGGCAAAGGAATGGACCAGGTGGTCCTCCTGGTGTGGCTCTAGAAGGTGAGGCCTGGCAGGCTCAGGCCTGGGTAGCAAACCCTACTTGCGGTCTCCTTGGACTGTCCTGTCAGCCATGGCTGACCCTTAGCGTCTGCTCGGGGCCAGTCAGGGCAGGTGGGTGTTCATGCACTTAGGTCTCCTACTCAGGGACAATCAATCTGGGCATGCGGCTGCCTGGACACCTAGGTCTGAGCACATCCAGATGCATATGTGTGCACAGTGAGGTCGGCCTAGCCCCACGAGGACTGTCATCACTGTATCCTTGATTCTCCATCAAATCTGAAGGCATCCTCTCATTGGGCACTTAGTGGAGCAGGACAAGGCAATCTGCTTGCTCAGGTTCTGGGGCTGGGACTCGGGACTGTCCTGAGATCCCCACTCAGACACAAGCTCTGTTGAGAGGCACAGGGCCTCAGGGCAGGCCCCTGTTAGTCTGGGGCTTGAAGCAGAGTCTGGACACAGTGGAGGCTTCACGGAGGATGGACTTACAGTGGCACCCTGGTGGAGTGGGGAGTGGCGCAGTGGAGGTGGTGAGGAGGCTAGACTGCCCGACTGTGTGCATTGGATCCATGGCCTCTGGAAAACAGCTGGCCTTGGGATAACGTCCTGCTGAGTTGGTCCGTCCCTTCCCCGGACTTGCTGTCATGTTCTGTCCAGCTGACATCTTCCTGGGGCTCCAGGAGCATTTGACATGCGTTGACATATAGGACATCTCTGTGTCCTCCCAGAGGCCACCTATGGGAGTGAGTGCCGGCATCCAATCCCACTGACTCCTTATCCGTGCCCCCTTCTCTGTCTGCCCAGGAGACACTGTTCAGGCTGCTACTGAAGCTCCTGCTGAAGCCTCCAGCCCCAGCTCCAGTGCAGAGGACTTCTGCTACGTGTTCATGGTGGAGCTAGAGCGAGGCCCCTCGGGGCTGGGAATGGGCCTAATTGATGGGATGGTGAGGACCCCTGGACTTGAGTCCTCTCCTCTCACTCTCGTAGACCCTTCCTCTACAGTGTGGCCATGGTCAGGGCCAGTTGTGAGTGCCTGGAATGTCTCATGGGCCTGCCTTTGGGAGCACTGATGGGGCCTAGTGCTTCCCTGTGGGACACACAGGAACCATAATTTGTGACCTGGCTACCTAGCTCCAGGCATGTTCCTAGGGAGGGCTGTGTGGTGCTGGATCTTTGCTGGGGAAAGCATGTGTTAGCAGTAGCAGCATCCTGAGGACCCTGCTTCTTCCCAGCACACACCTCTGGGGGCCCCAGGACTCTACATACAGACCCTGCTTCCCGGGAGCCCCGCAGCATCTGATGGGCGGTTGTCACTAGGAGACCGAATCTTGGAAGTGAACGGCAGCAGTCTAATGGGTGTCAGCTACATGAGGTATGTGCCACATCTGGCCTGCAACAGAGGATTACCTGTGCGGTGGGGTGGGGGCCTGGGAAGGGAGAGGCAGAGAGTGGGGCCTGCTGCTGGCTCCTCTGCACATTTCCACCTCTTTCCATGATTTCAGGGCAGTAGATCTGATCCGACATGGAGGCAAGAAGATGCGATTTCTGGTTGCCAAGTCTGACGTGGAAACAGCCAGAAAAATCCACTTCCGCAAGCCTCCTTCCTAATAGACCAAAGGACCCGTGCCCCCAGCACCTGCTTCCTGTATCCCCAATACCCTCTCCCCGTAAGCTTCACACTCCCCAGTCCAGCCAATCCTCAGTTTTTAAGTTGACTGAGTGAGTCCATATATTGTGGCCTCACGTTGAGGACACCTGTTGATAGTGTACATCTTAGTGTATATTTATTTATATGACAGATGACACTAAGTTGTGACATTTCCTACAGAGCTTTTATGTTTAAAGACTTTAATGAAGAATTGAGATTCAATAAACTATCTTTGGTATTCTTACAGTGGGGATACAGGATCTGCATCTGGTACACTACATGGTGGGCAACACTGAGGGAAACCAGTGCTTCTTGTGACCAAACCTTCTTGTGCAGCCAGCATAGGAGAAACTGGATGGACCTAATATAGATTGTGATGGATGTAGTTCTCCACTGCCTCTGGTTCTGGGGATTAGACTCAGGGCTCTTGATGTATTAGGCAGGTGCTCTACCACTGAGCCACAGCCCAGCCCCTCACTGGGGGAGTCTAGGCAGGGGCTCTACCACTGAGCCTTCAGCCTTCAGACTCTCTTTTTGTATTTTGTTTTGCGGTAGTCTCACTGAGTTGCCCAGCTTGGCCTTGCTCTGTAGCCCAAGCAGACTGAGTTTTCTACCTTCCTGCCTCAGCCTCCTGAGCAACTGCAATTACAGGCCTGCCCCCCCCCCAAGCTAGGCTAGGGATGGGATTATTTGATTGGCCCTCTACTTCAGGTCTGTATCTCCTTTGCAGTCAGGAAATAAGAAACACAAGTCAGTGAGGTTCTGTCTTTTGGTCCTTTCTTTGAGACTGGGTCCAGGCTGGCATGGAATCTACTATGGAGGAGTCAGCACAGGGCAGCTCCCAACCCACTACAGTCTTGTTTCAGCCACCCGAATTGTGGGCTTGTAGTGGTACCCCTGTGACTGTCTCCATCATTTAATATCACATTGCTTAGTGTCTCCCCAGAGAAAGGGATCTACAGGCCTGGAGAAAGGCTAGATGATTGAGCCGACGTCTCCTTGGGCCCAAGCCAGCCTTGAGCCTTCTCCCCCTGCTCAGAATGACCTCTACTGGTCCTCACTTGTCACTGATCACAGAGGCAGGAGGTTGAACACTAACACTAAGCTGGAGGCCCAGGATTTTCTTCCCCAGGCCACATCCCTTTATACTGTTGGGAAGCCAGCCTCCTTCTCCAGCCAGGGTCTGGGAGCAGCTGACACATACCCACACTGCGTGTGAACAAACTTGGCCTGGCTGGATACCTCCGGCAGGGTCAGCAGCTCTACCGTGTCCTCAGTGTGCACAACGCTAGTGAGAGGACTTGGCCAGGTCCTCATCTTTTAAGAGTTTGGGAAATGGGCCATGTGTGTGCACACGTATGGAGGTGAGGGGAAAACCTCAGATGTCAGCCCTCACCTTCCACTTTGTTTCAGACAGGGTCTCTTGTTGTTTGCTGCTGCATGAATTTCTGTCTCATTGTAGGAACATGATGATTAGACACGTGCTACTGTTGCTGGCTTTATGTAGGTTCTGGGGACTTGAACTTAGGTCCAAATGCTTGTATGGCAGGGGCTTTACCCACTGGGCTCTCTCTGCAGCCCAAGGTCCTTATATTTTTAACAGGAAGAGAGACTGTGGGGACAAGAGAGTCCCAGTCAGCTGCAGACCCTCCTCACATGAAAGGGATCTTTGTGCAGGGGACAAAGTTGCTCTCGTGCTTCTCCATGCTGCCCCCTCCTGGTCGTCCTGCAGAGGTGCAGAGCATCTGCTGCAGGCCCTTTCCAGCTGCTGCTGTTGCTGCATGTTTCCACCCAGCGTGGATAGGCAGCCACAACTCGAAGGTGCCCAAGATGCTGGGATAAAGTGTACTTAAAAAAAAAAACAAACAAAACCTTACTACGCTTTTATTGGTTTATTTTGTGTGCACGGAATGGAGTTGGTGAGATGTGCAGGTATATACCATGATGTGCATATGGAGGTCAGAGGACAACTATGGAAGTTAGTTCTCTGCACCAGGTAGGTCCTGGACTTCAACTCAGGTCTGCAGGCCTGGCATAGGAGCCTTTACCTGCTGAGTCAGCACCTTGCTGCTTCCCCCCCCCCCCCCAATCTTTTTTGTCCAAGATTAAAAAAAGACTTACATGTGCGTGTGCACGTTTGCATGAATTTCTATGTAGCATGCACATTCAGGGGCCCATTGAGGTTAGAAGAGGGTGCCATATCTACAGCTGGAGTTCCATGAAGTTGTCAGTTGCCATGTGGTGCTGGGAACCAAACCCAGGTCCTCTGCAAGAGCAATAAGCTCTCTTAACCACTGAACCATCGTCTCTTCAGTCTCCTGCCCCTAAAAGTAGTGGCTTTTAGGCAAGTGATGACTAGGGGCGCACAGGGGGACTGGGTATCACCAATATGGCCATTCTGATGCAGGATGGTGGGCTCCTTCATGCTTATTGTTATCTAGTAATCAAAAGAAACTATCTCCAATTAACAACCATTCAAAAAGGAAAAATTAGCTTCTCAAGACAGTCTCATTGTGTATACAAATCACAGTTGCTTAACACCAACTCACTATTTTGAACATTTTTTGTTTCATATTGCTTTACTTGGGCTCCCCCCTCCCTGCTCTTACCGGTTTCTCTGTGTGTGCACATGTGTTTCCCTGCTTTCTGTAAAGTATTTTTTATTTGTCCTTTTTATTTGCCTGTTTTCCTTCTTGTTTTGAGACAGGGTTTCTCTGGGTAGCCCTGACTGTTCTGGAACTTGCTATGTTGACGGGGCTGGTCTCAAACGCATAGAGATCCACCTACCTCTGCCTCCTGAGTGCTGGGATTAAAGGCCACCACCATCAGGCTACCTGTTTAATTTCTTTTTAAATTTTGTTTTATGTACTTTTATGTTTTGCCTGCATGTATGTCTGTGTGAAAGTGTCAGATCTTGGAGTTACAGACAGTTGTGAGCTGTCATGTGGGTCCTGGGAATTGAACCCAGGTCCTCTGGAAGAACAGTCAGTGCCTTTGACCTCTGAACCATCTTTCCAGCCCCCTGTTTAGTTTCTTAATGGAAAGAAATTATGTGGAGTTGGAGAGGGAGGTGGGAGGAGATAGAGAGTGGAAACTGATCAGAATAAACTGTATGAAAACAACTATCTTCAATAAAAAATAAAATTATTTTTGAAAAGGGTGGTTTGATGAGAGGCTCAGCAGGTAAGAGTACTTGGCTGCAGAGCCTCATGACTCGAGGACAGACTGACTCAATTGTTGTCTGACCATCACGAATGCTCTGCTGTGGCACATGTGACCACCCCTCCCAAATAATATATAAGAAAAAAAATTTAAATTAGCTGGAGAATAACTGAGTAAACACCCTACATTCATGCACACACTTGCACACACATGTGCACATACAATCATACCACACACAAAACACATGGTATGTGTGCACATGTGTTGTCAAGCATTTCTGTGAAAGATTGATTGTAACCGTGCTGAAAGCAGATGTAACTATGTAAAAGCTTCACGGCCCCAGGAGTGCCTGGGAGCTTGCAGCCCAGGCCAGTCCTGCCCTCTAGCCAGGTGAAAGTGGGAAAAGCCACTGCTCACATGTGAGCCCACCCACACTGGCTTGCCTATGAGAGCAGAGTAGACGGCCCAGCCCCTGCCATCTGAGTAGGCACTTGGCTTTGGCTGGTGCCCACCAAGAAGAAGGCAGTGCGTTCTCAAACGCCTCCGCCCTTGTTCACGATGGCATGGCTTTATCAGCTGTGTGCAGCACACAGTGGAGGCTTCCTATCTTTGCTCTTGACTATGAAGGATGCCAGTGTGCAGGGCTGGAGAGGTGGCTCAGTGGTTAGAGTACTGGCTGCTCTTTCCAGAGGACCTGGGTTCCATTTCCAGCACCCACACTGTGGCCTGTAACTCTGTAACTGCAGTTCCAGGGGTCTGATGCCCTCTGACCTCTGCATTCAATGCATGCACATGGTACACTGACATACATGCTTGCCAGATACATGTAAAATAAAAGGTTGATTCTTAAAAACCCGCCTGTGTTCCTGACCAAAGAGCATGGCAAATGCCATTTCTTCTACCCTTGCTCTAGGGGTGGCCGCCCTCACAGGGTACAGGTGGCACAAGGCAGACACAGTGTGGGTCACCCTGAGCACATTTGTCCAGGCCCAGCCCAGCTTAGGGAGGGGCTTTCAGCAGGGCACAGCCGGTCTAGTGGCAACAAGCAAAGGTTTTCCTGAACATGAACCTGGATATAGGGCCCACGTGGGCTGTGGTATGTGGCCTGGGTAGGAGCACCCCATATTGCCACAGACCTCAGCTGCAGCCCTAAGCCTATTTTTCTGTAGAGAGCTCTGGCAGACATAGGGAGAGGAGTATAAAGCAGAGCCCAGAAGCAGAAAGGAAAGGATCAAAGGCCTGCCCAGCAATAGGCTAAAGGCAAGGGCGCCCTCTAGTGGCCATGTGCTGTCAGCATCTGAGCAGCTCCTGCTATGAGGTTGGTTCTCTGGGCTCAGCCCAGCCGAGGGCGCAGGGAAACTGCAGAAAGGCTCAAGCAGGGCCCTGCAGCCATGAGCTTCAGCAGGAAGCCTGGGTGCTTCTGTGCAGGACTGCAGGAGCACGTCGGGGTGCTCTGTGCCTCCCCACACCCTGAAATCACGAAGCAGCATAATCAGGCCACACCTGGGGACACTGCATCCTCATGAGCAGGGGATTTTACTCAGCTTTTAAAATGTCTTGTGTGCCCAAGAAGGCATAGCATGTCTTCTGGGGGTTGTTTCTTGCCTTCCACCTTGTTCTCCTGCTGCTCTGCAGACCCCGAGCTAGGAGGCCTGTGAGCTTTGAATCGATGTTGTCACTGCAGGTGTGCACACATCACAGCACCTGGCTCTTCACCTGGGATCCAGGGGTCAAACTTGGGTCATCAGGTTTATATGTCAAAGCCTTTGATGTGCAGTCATCTTCCAAGCTCAATTTCTTCTGTAGCCTAGGCTGCCCTCCAAATTGCTGCATAGTCAATGATCTTGAACTTCTGATCCTCCTGCCTAATTACAGGTGTGCACTACAATACCTGGGCTACGCTGGGCTTTGTGCAGGCTGAGTAACACTGCATTGGCTGAGCTATAGCCTCAACTCCTGAGCATGTCACTTCTGTCACATCCAGGACACTAAAGCTAAACAGGTAAACCAGGGATTTCCCTCTACATAGGGCAGGGTGGGAATGGCTCCAGGCCATGCTCAAGCTCCCTGCTTACCTCTCAGTGTGAGCGAGGAGGGCAGAGAGATCTCAGTTGTACATAGTATTTAAAGGTTTATTAGGGGACATACAAGATGGCTCAGTAGGTAAAACTGCTTGTCACCGAGCCACACAACCAGCCAGGGCCCACATGAAGGAGATGACTCCCAAAAGTTCTCTGTGTAGCAGCTGGCCTCTGCTTCCAAGGGCCGGGATTAAAGGCATGCACCACCACCGCCCAGCACAGGCAATTTTTATAAAATTTATTGTTATTCTTGCCCTGCTCCATGCCTCCAACTCTAGAAATGAGTTAAGAGCAGTGAGCAGACCAGGCCACTTCTGCTCAGTCTAGGAAACAGTGCTCAGTCATTTATCAGCCACTCAAGGTTGAGTTTGGCCAGCCACAGGAACGAGGCTGGATGACGCAACCCCAGCAGCTAGTGACCCCATCTTGGGGGCTATGTCCACCTTCCTCCCCACTCTAGTCACCCAGCCTTCAGCTCAGCGCTGATATTGGTCTGACCGCCCAGGCTCTTAAGCTATAGCCAGTGTTTAGGTGGTGACTGTCCCTTCAACCTGGCAAGAGGCCAGCCTCCTTCTCCACCAGCCGGCTGACGGTGCGCAGGGCCAGAGGCAGGGCCGTGTTGGTGTCTCGGTGGTAGCGGGGCTGGCACACACCTGCAGTGGGTGTGAACACAAACTGGGCCACACTGGGTATCTTCAGTAGAGTCAGTAGCTCTGTGGCCCTGGTACGGATGGCTTCTGCATCCTCCTCCCTGTACACGGAGCTGGTGGCTGGGTTCTGGGCCAGGGACCGAAGTTTTGACAGGAACAGTGACACCCTGGGGGAAGAGAGGGACTCAGCTATTTAGCTACCAAGGACCAGTTCCCTAAAGCGCCCAGATAGCGTGCTCCATGGGCTCCTGCTCCGGGCTCCTTAACTGGATACCTTGGGATCAGGTCTTGGCTCCGGGAGGCCAGCTTGGTCAGTGTGGTCATGAGTGCAGTGACCACCTGTGGTGGACAGCAGGGCAGGTCAGCCGAGGGGCGGGACTGGGTGACTTCAAACAGCAGGGCCTCCAGGGCCTCAAAGAACTTGTTGATTTGCTCCACTGTGCACCTCTTGTCACAGGTCACCGACAGGTACTCGCCAATGGCCCATACCTAAGCCCAGAACAGAGGCTCAGCACACCAAGGCTTCAGGTCCGATGGTGGGAGGGTGAGCATGCGCTTACCACACAGGTGAACATGCTGGCGCGGCTGCAGATGCTGCTCACGTTCCCCACAAACTCCAGAAGCTCTCGTGACAGCTCCACCACCAGTGATGGCTTCAGCTTGCACAGCACCAGGAACTGGGAGCTCAGCACCCTGCCAGGAGAGCAGGAAGCCTGTGAAGCTGTGAGTGCTCAGGACAGATCTGACCCCAGCCTGTCTGTTGGGAGAGAACTAGCAGCAGCTGGCTGAAGTCAGGGAGATACGAACTGCCATCCCCTGAGAGCTCTTCACTCCACTAGGGATATGACTGTCTGAAATCCAGGCTCCTTGAGAGAGCGAGGCAGGAGGAATGCTGTGAGTTATAGGACAGCCTGGACTGGAGAAAGACCTATCATAAAACCGAAGAGTAAATGGCTTTCCTAGAATCAACCAGTGAGGGGCTGGGGGTGTGGCTCATCGGTGGGTGGAGCACCTGCCTAGAATCCCCCAGTGAGGGGCTGGGGTGTGATTCAATGGTAGAGTACTTGTCTAGCATTCAGGTGGCCCTAGATTTAATCCCCAGGATAGCTGTGTTTGTGTGTGTGAGAATAAATTATCTAAAGCAGCAGTTCTCAATCTGTGGGTTGTGGCTGTTTGATGTCACACATCAAAAATTCTGCTTATCAGATTATTTACATTTCATATTACGATTACAATTCATAACAATAGCAAAATTATAGTTATGAGGCAGCAATGAAAATAATTTTATGCTTGGGGGTCACTACAATATAAGGGACTGCATTAAAAGGTCGCAGCATTAGGAAGGTTGAGATCCACTGCCCTAAAAAAAAAAAAAAAGGGACCTCAGAGGACAGGAACCCCTACAATAGAGACGAGTCCACCCTGAAAAGACACAAAGAGTCTTGGCGGAGGGCAGTTAGGAATTCCTGAATGGGGAATGATCTGCAAGCTGAGGGGTGGGGGGACGGGGCCTGCAGGACAGGGGAGGCGAGGGAGGGGCCTGGTCTGTGTGTACCACTGGCGCCGGTGACTCTGCCAGGGCCATGAGGCTACCTGTGCACGCCGGCCTCATACTGAGGGACCTGGTAGAGGGAGTCACTTCTGTCCAGGAGCAGCAACGCCAGCTGGTTGATGAGGGCCCCGTCAGCAAACTGGGATCAAGAACAAGAAGGCTTCAGTCCTGGGCATTGGGCGCTGTTATCTTCCACACTCAGGGAGGAGTGAATCCACAAAGGGGGAGCACCTCCTCACTCACTGCCTATGTTCTCCAGTGTGTACGTTGTGGGCTGAGAGAGGACCCAGCATCCCCTGTCCGCTCCCGCCCTTCATCTTTCCTGTAGAACACTGCTCTGTGGCAGGGTGTGGTGGCGCACACCTTTAGTCCCAGCACTTGGGAGACAGAGGCAGGAGGATCTGAGAACTTGACCACGTGGTGAGTGAGCTCCAGTGGGTTTATGCAAAGAGGCAGTGTCTAAAGCACAAATAGAATAAGCCTGTTCCCTGAGGCCAAGGTTCTGTCTTGTCTAGCTGAGTGACCCTGAATGGCCCCACTGTTACTAGCCTAACTCAAAGGATTCTATGGGCTTCCAGTCATTCAACCGTGAACATGCAGCCAGGAAGGAACCATCAGGCTATGGGAGCCCCAGGGCCTGGAGCACACACGCCTGCCCCAACTTGAGGGCTGACATGTGAGTGGCCCCTTCCCTGTCTGTCTTACTCAGAGAGGACATGGAGGGCACAACAAGACAAACCTGTGCAATCAAGGCCGGGGCACCACACTCTGGCCTGGTCTCTCCTGACCGTGTGAGGTCCAAAGGGGAGGGGACCTGGGCAGTGGGCTCACCTGGGTCACAGCTGAGAAGAAGGCCTGAAGCAGGATGGGTACTGCCTCTGCACACTGGGTTACCCGGGCACAGCTGGCCATGGGCTTCAGCAGCTGGTAAAGTGGTGTCAATCTGGGGACGCAAGGGGGCTAATGAGTGCCCACCCATCCACTGTTCCTTCCTGGGTGACCCCACAGCAACCAGAAGGAACACTGTAGCTAGCCACAGGTAGGCGCCGTCCACCGGCCCCTTGGGATCACATGCCCTATGGGGCTCAAGGAGGCCAGGAGACGTCAGGGGGTCCCAGGACGGCAGGGATAGGTCAGCAAGGTCTGAGTGATTGGCCTGCAGGCCACTCCTGGTCCTCTCACTCCCCAGAACATGCTAGGCCTCTGTTTTCCCATCTGTAAAGTGGGTCAGTGGGTGGAGCCCAGGGCCGTTATGATGGGATCAAGGCCACTTCCCCACGCTGAGGGTAAGAACACGGCCCTTTTTTCTGGTACAGTCCTACATCTTGGACTATGGGTAGACCAGGGCTCCCACCTCTCTATGGAGCCGCTGGCCTTGGTACGAAGCAGGTGGCGGAAGAGTCCCTGGAACTGTGGGTCCCGGAAGGCCTCCAGGCAGCTGGGAATCCTGAGGGAGACATCCCAAAGCAGCCTCTCCGATGGGGTCTGTGTGGACCTAATAGAGGACAAAGGCTAGGCTAGGATACTCTCAGCACAAGCCAGCCCGATGCCAGGGGCACCTGTTGGAGCATCACAGGCTCTGGAGGGTGGGGGAGCACTCTGGGCTGGAGAACATGGGAGACTCCCCTTGCTGAACATGAATGTGCTAAGGAGCCCTGGGGCTCAGGGGCTGCTCTGGGTGGGTGGCAAAGGGCCCAGAGATGTATCGTTTGTGGTCTGGAACCTTGCAGGGGCCCTAGCCCAGGGAGTCGGGAGTAGAAAGGAGAGCAGAGTTGGTGCCTGGTTACACGGGAGGGAACAGGCTGAGAGCAGAGTGGTCCCACCTGAGCTGTAGGTCTAGGGCAGTGGTCAGGCAGGGCAGGTCAAGCAGTGCATGCAACATCTCCACGGTGGTGCCAGCATCCACTAGAGCTGGGAGGAGTACCACAAACTCGGCTATGAGGGGAGGGCTGTTCCAAGCCAGGAACTGTGGGGGAGACACAGGGCCTCAGATAGGGCAGGAGGATGCTAGGTGGCCATGGCCCCATCTAATGGCCTTCTACCTCCCAGTCATACGGGCAGCTGGACCCGCCCCTCTCGTCTTCCCCACACTGCCTGTGATGAGGCTGTCTGTTTTCGCCTATGTTTTGAAGATTTCATGTACTATTATGTGAGCCTGTGCACACATACACATGAGTGGAAGCTGAAGAACACTGTGCAGGAGTTGGGTCTCCTGTTTTGCCACGTGGGTCCCAGAGACGGAACTCCGACTGCCAGCAGCAGGTTGTCTTTCCTAGCTGGAGTCATCTCTCTAACCATATCTGCTATTCTATTTCACCTTGTGCAGACAGTTTTGTGCCAGCAATGAAGGTGGCCATTTCTGAATTTCTCTTCTTTTCTTTAGGAAAAGGACTGAGTGCTGGGGTAGGGAGATGGCTCAGTCAGTAAAGTGCTTACGGTACAGGCATGAGGACCTGGAAGAAGCCGTGTGTACCCCCAGATTCCGGTGCTGGGGACAGTACTGTTACTGGGGCTGGCTGGTCATTAACCCAGCCACACCCGTGACTTCCTAGTAAGTTGAAAGATCCTGTCTCCACAAAAAAAAAAAAAAAAAAAAAAAAAAAGTGGGGTGGGGTGGGAGGGGTGGGGGTGAGTGGGGGCAGGGCAGAGAGATGATTTACTTGGTGAAATATGTGGCTTTAAAGCCAAATCTCCAGAGCCCACTATAATTCCAGTGCTCCTACTTGGAGGAGGCAGAAACAGCAGAATTCCAGGAAGACCACAGGCCAACTGGCAGGTGTATGGGGTGGTTAGAAATTGGAAACCTGATCTCAAACAACAAGGTGGAAGTCGAGAACCTCAACACCCATGTGCTTTGATCTCCACACATGTATACCTAGATCATACATATGGAGTAATGCACACACACGCACACACACACACACACACAAATGCGTGTATCTCTGGCTCTCACAGATCCATCATAGGTTCTTTCTAATGAACTGAATGCACCACCACACTAATGCCATGGGCCAAGCCAGGCACACACCTGAGATCCGGCACCCTCCTAGGAGGCGTGGCTTCCTGGAGCAGAGTATCTCAAAACTGAAGCTGGCCAACTCAAAGCCAGTCATGCCATCTCTTGCCTCTGCATGACCTTTAGGGTTTTTTTGTTTGTTTGTTTTTGTTTTTGTTTTTTGATATTATTTTTTGTGTATGGTTTGCCTGCATGCATGTATGGGCACTGAGCATGAAGTGCCTGAAGCCAGAGGAAGGCACTGGATTCCTTGGAATTAGTTACAGATGGTTGTGAGCCACCATAATCTGGGTACCAAACCCAGGTCCTCTGCAAGAGCAGCCAGTACTCTTAAACCACTGAGCCATTTGCTCCAGCCCCTAGGTTTTTCTTTTTTCTCTTTGTTTTTTTTTTGAGACAAGATGTCCCTATAAGGCCCTGGCCATCCTGGAACTCACTATGTAGACCAGGTTGGCCTTGACCTCTTAGAGATCCTCCTGCCTCTGCCTTCTGAGTGCTGGGATTAAAGACATGTGCCAACACATCCAGCTTTTTTTGCTTTTTTGAGACAGGGTATCATGTAGCCCAGGCTGCCCGGGAACTGCTATGTAACTGAAGCAGGCCTTGAACTCCTACTTCTGACCCCCCTGCCTCAGCCTCCCTGGTGAAGGGATTGCATGTATGAAGCACCATATCTGATTTGCATGAGGCTGTCTGAGACAATGCTGTTTGTATGTTATGAATCACGTAGATCCCTAGCCCTAACACCTTGCCCTGTGTTCCAAACTGAGATCGCCTGAAAAGGAGAGAGTCCCTGGTCCCACCCCCAAGGAAGCTCACACGTGCCTTGAACAGACTAGGGAAGCTCAACCTGAGAAGGCCGAGGAAGTGGGGGTCGAACAGAGCCAGGTTGTGTGTGCAGAAGTGTATAACCTCGAAGGCCAGGGTTGGGCTGTAGAAGCGCTCGGAAGGGAGCCTGCTGAGCAGGTGCTGGTAGATGGCTTCTGCATCCACTGCGGCTGCCTCCCCTGAAAGACAACAGAGACCACCAGGGCATTGGGCTTTACAGCAGTAGCATCTGCAGTGACTTGGGGTAAGGTTTTTCCGATGTTGGCCAGGACTCAGCGTGACAGAGTCTCAGGGTTGCATGTGTCTCCAGAACACCAAAAGCTGTCTGCAGATGCTGCCGCCTCCCTGAGGTCACAGAACACAACCCGGAGAGAACACTGTCATGAAGGCAGAAGGCCTTGACTTCTGACTTTCATGGGCCCATGGCAGAGCAGAGTTCTGAGCTTGGCAACTTTGTGAGAATCAATTCCAAAATATAGAGAGGTTAGGTGTGGTGGCATACTCTTTTAAACTAGAACTTGGGAGACAGAGGCAGGTGGATCTCCATGAGTTCATCCAGAGCTATACATAATAGCCTGTTTCTAAACATGAACAAAACCCAAACCAACCAAGTAATCAAAATAAAAAGAAGGCTGGGATTAAACTCAGTGGTAGAGCACCTGCCTAGATTCCCCCAGTGAGGGGCTGGGGTGTGGCTCAGCAGTACAGCACTTGTCTAATATGTGAAGGACCTGGGTTCCATGCCCAAAACTGCCAATAGGCAAGCAAAACCAAATTGTAAGCGTGACAGCCTCTGAGTGCCTGGAAGAAACTTCCCATGGCGCCAGACTCACCATGGTTCAGGAAGAACTGGGCAAGGGGCACCAGTGCCCGCTCACTGCCAGGGTCTTCACCCAGCCTCCTATGCAGGGCCTTCAGGCAGGAGAGGGTGCGGTAAAGGAAGGAGGGGTCCTGCCGGCACAGCACATCCAGCACCAACACAGCTTCCACTAGACACTGCAGGGACACTGAGCTGTGTCAGAGAGTCCAGGCAGCACCTGCCCCAGCCACCCTGCAGGCTACTTACAGCTTTCTGTAGGTTGGAGTCCGCCTTCCTCAAGGCTCCTGGAAGAAAGTTGACTTGTATCAAAACAGCCCCATAACAAGGTAGCCTATGTACTAGACGCTTAAGGCCGGGACAATGAGCAGTCATGTGATAAGGTGGGGGAGGGGCGGGGACTGGTTCCCATATGATGTGTACAGCATGGGTGGACCCTGGATGCCAGGGTTAAGGTGGTAGGCATGCAGGTAGGGCCTGCCCTCAGACACAAGGAGGCTCCTGACCCACAGTGATCTGACACCCACGGCTTTTCTGTTGAAGATTTTATTTTTAATTTCATTTCAAGTGAATGGGTGTTTTGTCCATGTTATATATGTGCACCATATGCATGCCCGGTGTCTGAGGAGGCCAGCAGAGGGAATTAGATCCTCTATAACTGTAGTTCCTGTGGGAAACCATGTGGGTACTTGGAACCAAAACCAGGTCCTCCTCAAGAACAGCAAGTGCTCTTAACCACTGAGCCATCTCTCCATCCCCGCTCCCCAGCCTGCTCTTCTAAAGCAGATACTCAGGTAGGCTGGCTGCTTGGACCCCACCCTGGAGGGTGATGTGGGCCCGGGCCAGGTGTTGGTAGCCTGGGGACTTACTCCGGTTACTCTGTTCCAGTAAGCGCTGGCAGTACTCGAAGGCCACCTCTCTCAGCCGCTCCCGAGGGGGCAGCAGTCGGCTAGCAGTGGAGGTGGCAGAGAGCACAGACAGGGTCGAACCCTCCAGCTCTGACTTGTCATCTGTGGGAGAAAAGGATACCTCTGTTACCCCTGTGTGGACGGGCAGGCTGGGCAGACGACACACTCCAGCAGCTTCCCGGAGTGCTCAAGGTTGATCAAGCCATCAAATCTGACGCTGTTGTCACCTGGTGGTAGATGCAAAATTTGTCCTGCCTGCTAGTTGGTTTTTCTGTTTGTTTGTTTGTTTGTTTTTAGTGTGGAAGATAAGGTTTTGCTATGTAGCTGAGGCTGGTCTCAAACTTATAATCCTCCTGCCTCAGAGTCCCAGGTGCTGGCATGATAGGTGTGGATCCCTATACTTGGCTTAGTTTTGTGTTTTTGAGACAGGGTCTCAAAACAGCCTGGGTTGTAGCCCAGGCTTGCTTCAAACTATGTAGCTGAGACTGGCCTTGAACTCCCTGATCCTCCTGTCTCCACCTTCCAAGTGCTGGGCTCATAGGCATGTACCACCATGAGCAGCTCAGTTTGACTGTCTATAAACCAAGTCTGTAGATGGGACAAGATCAGACAGACCTGTGAGTAGCTGCCTTGGACGATCCATCTGGCTCTCTGGGAACACCTAGTGGAGACATTAGTATCCCTACAAAGGATGTGGGCTGTGTTCTGGGTTCTTCCTGCAGTCAGTGGGCCTCTGTTGCTGGCCTCCAAACTCATCACACCTTGTTTGGCCCACAGACACCTGTGGTGTCCATCTAGGCCCCAGCTGCCTCCTGACCACCCTTTACCTACCATCCCAAGCCACCATGTACTTATGCTCTCTACCCCTCAGTGTCATCTGTCCCACCCTGGGCACACCTGCATCTGGACTGCCTGGGTCCTCAGAGCCACTGTGTAGCAGCCATTTCCGAAGCATGGAGAAGGCCTGCATGTTCAGCCACTGGTCCTCTGTGAAGTGCTGGCCCGTGGAAAGAACCGTGAAGAAGTCAGAAGCCACTGCTCCATCCACCTCAGTGATGGGACCTGGCTGTGGGAGGAAGGACAGGACTGAGGGTGAGCCTGGTGGGCTCATAAACTACAGACATCATGTGAGACCATGAGCTCCAGCATGGCCCAGGGTCCTGCACTACCTGCCCTCTCCCAGGGTTGTACTGTGGGATGCATCCACACCCCTAAAGACACATAGTATGACTCCAGCTCAGATGTGTGTCTTGTGTCCTCTGTGGGCATTGAGCAGGAGCCACACAAGCTGAGGAGCTGGCCAGACTCAAAGTGTACTTCCCTATCCTGAGTGCTCCCCACTCTGAGGTAGAGACAGCAATGAGCAACCTTACTGGAATCAAGAGGAAGGGCATGCAGTGTCCATTGGAACCTCCCTGCTGGGACTGGCTATGTGTGGTATCTATCCATACATGGGACAGAGAGAACGGACAATTACCAAAGAGAGTAGCACTGTTTGTATCTCCTGTACATCAGTCTGTCCTCAAACTTGCTATGTAACCAGGTAGGTGGTGGGGGCGCCTTTAATCCCAGCGCTCAAGAGGCAGAAGCCGGTGTATCTCAGTGAGTTCAAGGCCAGCCTGGTCTACAAAATGAGTTCCAGGACAGCTAGGACTGTTACACAGAGAGAGCCTGTCTCAAAAAAACTGCTATGTAGCTGAGGAATCCTCTGAAATCCTGATTCTTGCATCTGCCTCCTAGGCTCTGGGGTTGTAGGTGTACACCACCACACTCTGATTACGTGGTTCTGGGACTTGAACCCAAGGCTTATTGCATACTAGGCAAATACTCTGCCAATTGAGCCACATCCCCAGCCTGTGACAGAGCTTTTGTGATTTCAGCTCCTGGGGGACCTGAAACAGTTGGGACTCACCTGCCGGGTCCTGGGTGTAGAGAAGAAACCCGCTGAGGATGGAAGGCCCTGTTGGATGCTGGCGTAGCGCAGCCAGTCCACTAGCCTCTTGCTGAGCAGGTTGCTCTGGTCTGTAGGGAAAGGAAAGGGTGCAGGGAGGTCAAGTAAAGCCTCCATATTCCTGGTGGTGTTGAGTTTGCTCAAGAGAACCCCACCCAGGGGTACAACCTGGGAAGTTAAGCAGGGTTCTCCAACAGCTCAACTTTCCTTCCACCACACCCTAGACTACAGTTGGGAAAGGAGCCAAGAAAGCCTTTTGGGAACAAGTGTCTAGTACCTTCCACAAGGGTGCCTGGGGCCAGGCCAATGACCTTGGACAGGACAGGGAGGAGGTGCCTGACACTGGGCCCCTCGGGCTGCCGGTTCTCAAGGATCTTGAAGATGCGCTGGCTCACTTGTCTGATCTCTCCTTTTCTGTCTCCCTTCAAAGCAGGACAGGGAGCTGAGGTCATGGTTTGGCTGGCAAAGCAAGCGTCTCAGCAGTACAAGGACCTGAGTTCGATCCCTGGGAAGCACACTGCAGTCGCTCTTTAAGTACAGGATCATATGTTCAGGAACATCACACTGGCAGGCCAGGCCCTGAAGTCTGACTTAGCTAATCAGCAGAGTCCTGGGGTGTGTGCATGGGGGACTATGCACACTTGAGACAGTCATTAGACCATCCAAGGGAATGGGCTCCAGGCAGGGCAGATCTCTGTGGCACATGATACATTGAGGAGCATAGACTAGTTTGCTGTATTCCGGAGATTCCGGAACCACCAGAAACAGATGCTGCCGCCACCCACCTTCATTCTCAGCGGTGGCAATTGTGTTACCTGGGCCAAGAGCACAGAGGCCACAAGGCTGAGCTGCCGGATGTTTTGAGTGTGATCACAGGACAGGGCTAGGCCATCAAAAGGTGACATCTCTCTCAAGATAGCAGCACAGAGGACCTGAAGCTGCTCAGGGCTTGTGGGCAAACAGAGGGTAGTCTGCAACAGGTCCACACACATCTTCTCCAGCCTAGAGGGCGAGACCCCAACAGGTGACATGTTGAGCCTGTGTCAAGTACAGACACCCCAGGGAAGCTGGCTGGGACCTGTCTGGCGGATGCACAGGCATCCATGGTAGTGCTGTCCACTCACCTCCGGGGGTACTTGGTGGCTGAGACGATGAGGAAAAGCCTCTGCAGAGCATCCATGGTGGCTGGCCCCGGGGGTTCCTGGAGCAGCTTGGTGACCCGGGTGCAGAATCGCTGTAGCTCCTCATCCTGTATCTCCCTAAGGGAGGAAGAGGGACCACAGTGCTGTCCTAAGCCACAGGCATGTCTTTCACTGGGGGACTATCCCTAACCAGCACAGAAAAAGCAGGGAACAGCCATCCAGGCTCACAGTGCCTGGAGTGTGTGTGTGTGTGATGATAGGAACTGAAGTGCAGAGAGGTTCCTCCCCTGGAACTGAGGGGCAGCACCCCAGTTTCCTAGTGACACCCTTTAAAGAAGGTGATGCACCTGATCTTATTCGGTTGTTTCAATGGCAAAAAAAAAAAAAAAAAAAAAAAAAAAAAAAAGCAATACAAAAAACAACACTATCTTATGGCTAGCCTGGAGCTTGCAGCAATCCTCCTGCCTCTGCTTCCAAGTGCTGACATTACAAGAGTGAGATAACACACTCAACAAAAGCTTTTATGATTCTTTCAAAGTCAGGAATATTCCAACTTCATTCTCCAAGAAAAATAAAAAAAGGTCAGGAATATTTAGTCTCAGTCGCTTCTCCCCTCCCCCCACAGTCTTGCTATATAGACCAGGCTGAACTTACATATAGCCAAGACTCAAACTCATCACCCTCCCAAGATGTACAGGTGTGCACGACCCTGCCCCGCCTCCCCTGGTCCCTGCCTTTATTGGCAGTGATGGAGTTTGACACCAGGGCCTTACATGTACTAAGGAAGCACTGTGCCTTGGAGTGCCATTGCCAGCACTCCCAAGTTGCCTTTCAAACATGTTTTAGTGAGCCACCCACCTTTGAGGAGGGAATATAAAGGCTTCTATATTGAAGAGCAAAGATTACAGCCGAGTGTAAGATGAGCCTGATATAGTATACTGCTGGCTTAACTCAGAGAAATAAACTCAGTGTGGAACCCAGTTTCTCAGCTTCTATTCCAAGCCAGGAAAAGGGCTGGGACTGCAGCTCAGCAGATGGGGGCTTGCCTAGATGCATGCAGCCCTGGGCTCCACCCCCAACACCACAAAATAAAGGTAAAGGCCCACGAAGGAATTGCCTGATGTGGTAGCTGGTGGCGCACACCTTCAGTCCCAGCACTTGGGAGGCAGAGTCAAGTGGCTCTGTTGAGTTTGAGGCCAGCCTAGTCTACAGAGCAAGTTCCTGTGGCCACACAGTGAGGCTTTCTCAACTATTTCTCACACACACACACACACACACACACACACACACACACATTACTGGATGAGGTGCCTGTGGGCACTGAGAAGGACCCCCAACTTCCTAAATCATGCCCCTCTGTGGTCTCCAGAAAGAGATGACAGTTTGTACACTGCCCCATTTTGGACCTGCCGGGCAGCTGCTTGAATTTGGCATCTGGGGACCAAAGGGAAGACAGGTAGCATCCTCTTTGGAGGCTGTGGGGTGACCTCCAATACTTCTCTCACCACCTCAGCCTACTTAGTTTTCTACATCCTCCGCCCAGAGTCATTTCAAGGCACCGAGAGAAGAGGCTGAGTGAGGAAAGGGAGACACAAACTGGTCCAGGATTGTGCCTAAGCGGGACACAGTGATAAACCATATACACTAAGAGACAGAGGATGAAATGACCAAAATAGAGATGCTCTGCATTGTGTGGTTACAGTTTCAACACAGCTTTAAAACCCACAGTTCCCTGCTCCTGGGGACCTTTCCCAGGCCAAAAAGAATTTCAATGAGTCCCTTTGCCTTTTGTCCTCTGCTGCATGACCATGAGCAGAATCTCAGTGGGAAATGTGATTTTCGTTATGGCATGAGGTCACATGCTGTGTAACACACTGTTTAAAGTGAAAATTATCCCCTCTACTGAAGACAAGGAGGGCGGTGGGTTGGTGGGCAGACTGTGGTCACCTAAAACTTTCCTAGTAGATCTTAGAGAATTATCTTGGGAATTGTTCTTTTAATTTATCACATTTATTTATTTATTTATGTGCATGTGGGGGCGCTCAGTGGAGATCAGAAGACAACTTGAGGGAGTTGATTTTCTCTTTCCTCCACTTGAGTCCCTGGGGTCAAACCGAGGCTCAGACTTGGTTGCAAGGGCGTTTTTTACCCATTGAGCCCTCTTCGGAGTACTGTCTTGTTCGCAGACTCCAGACTTTAACGCTCTTTCAGGCTCTTGTTCCCTGAGATTCCAGAGACCTTATCCATTCTAATCGTTCCACACAAGTGGCCCAAACTCCGAGTCCAGATTTGTTCCTTTGCTTTTTAAGTTTACCAAATGCATCAGGTCTGGGCTTCTGGCAGCTATTTCCTTCGTCTGATCAAGTGCCATCAAGTCTTGGACCGGCTAGTTGGGAAAGAAGGGGCGACCTAGGCGCTCAGTGTAGGACCAGCATAGCCTGGCATCAGACACGATGGGGAGGACTTCTTAGTTGGGTCGTGCACCTCACACTCCACACAGGCCGTCCCGAACCTGGGATCCATCGCCTCACGGGGACCCGAGCCACGCAGCGGGACCACCGCCTCCCCGCTCCTCCCTAGCTTTGTCTCATGCCCCGTGGTCCCGGCCCCAGATCCGCAGACCTGGCCTGGTGCAGCAGACTCTCCGCTCCCGCCGAGAACATCCTGCCGCAGCTCGGAGGCCACCCGCTTCCGAAACGTTGTCGCAGACTTCCGGGTCGCGTCACATGATATGTCACCCCTGCGTCACGTGGGAGAACCTGGAGAGCCCAGTTACCGGCTTCCGGTGCCACATCACGTGGGAGGACCCGACTAGCTAAAGACCGACTTCCGGTAATGCGTCAGGTGGGCGGGGCGGAGACCATGGGCCAATGAGTTGCAGTGAGAAAGCCGGTTCCGGGACAGCTCCGTAGCATCTAACCACGCCAGTTGTCAACCAGGGATCCCTGGAACCATGCTGCTTGGAGCCCAGCGCTCTTGGCCCCGGAACAGCTCCCTCTGATCCCGGAACTGCTAATGGTAGATTCTGAGCCTGGAGCAAAGACTAGACGCATAGTTTAGCCATGGGCTCCATCCTAAGCAAGACAAACCGGTGTGCCGAGGGTTGATCATTTTCCCTTTCTCTACACATAAATGCACACCCAGTAAACAATATTTCCATGGATGATATCTGATCTTTTTTTTTTTTTACGATCTGTAGCAAGCTATTTGAAGGTCTCATTAGTGGAAAATAGTTTACGTGGAAAAAATATATTAGGGCTAGTGAAATGGCTCAGCCAATGAATGCTTGCTAAGCAAACATGAGGACTAAAGTTTGAGTTCCTAGCAGCACACACACACACACACACACACAAAATTTAGCCAGATGACAGACATTTAAAAAATTCTGTCAGAGGCACTCTGCTACAGAAACATCCAGTGTCTTGACAGCCTGGGGTTCTCAGATGAGGAGGCCCCTGCACCGCTCATTCATTTGTATTGAGAGGTGGGTGCCTGTTTCACATGCAGAAAAACTAAGCTAACTGTAGACCGAGGAGCTGTGATGGTGGGGACCTGAACCCACATCTTTCTGGCTCTTGTCAATGCCTAGTGCCTATGGCCTAGAAATAACCAAGGTGTCTGAGAAACGGCAGAAGCAGGGGTGGCTTAATTGGTAAAGGGCTTTCCTTGCAAGCGCAAGAACCTGAGCACCATCCCTAGGTGGCCATGTAAAAATAAAGCACACACTTGTAATCCCAGCACTGGGCAAGGGGAGATAGGAGGATTCCTGGGTTTGCTGGCTGGCCAGCCTAGCTTACTTGGCAAGACCCAGGCCAGGGAGAGACCCTGTCTCAAAGAACAAGCTGGGGCAAGAAAAATGACTCAGTGCATGAAGTGACTGCCACACAAGCCTGACAAGCTGGGTTTGGGTCCCTGGAACCCACATAAAAGCTATGCGCAATAGTGTAATTTGTAATTCCAGCACACCTACAGGAGATAGTAGGTAGGAGAATCTCCTGAAATTAGTAGGCTTGCTAGCCTGGTTTATTCAATGGCAAAAACTCTGTGTCAAACAAGGTAGAAAGGTAAGAGCGGGCACCTGAAGGCTATCCTCTGACGTGCCCACATGTCTCCTGTGGCCAGTGCACGCCTGTGTCTCCACACGTGAAAACACGTTTACACACCACCTGTGGAACAACAGCCGAGGCTGTCCTCCGCCTCCATACAAATATACACACAGGTGTGCACACGTCAGCCACACCTGGGACAGGAGAAATGGAGTTTCTCACCTGGCTGAGTGTCAGATGTCTGCCAGGACCACTGAGGCAGCATGGGTGGTGGTTTGACAGAGAATGGCTCCCAGTGGCTTATATACTTGAATGCGTTGTTCCCAGCTGGCAGAAGTGTTTGGGAAGGACTAGGAGGCATGGCCTTGTTGGAAGGTGTGTCACTGTGGTCAGGCTTCAAGGTTTCAAGAGCCCACAGCACTTACCCGATAGCAAGCTCTGTCTTCTTGTTTCACCATGTGAGCTCTCAGCTACCGCTGCGACACCATGCCTTCCTGTCAACTACCATGCCGCCTGCCACGATGCTCACAGACTCTAACCCCCTGAACTGTGAGCCACAGATTAAATGCCTTCTTTTGTTTTTAGTCAGGTGCTTTGGTCATGGTGTCTCCTCACGGCAACAGACAAGTAGTAACAAGACACACAGACACCTGCAGACACACTCTGGCCCAGCTGGGGACTTGTGTCACAAGTCAGGGAGACCCGCTAGCTCCTCCCTTACCATCTGTGAACCATCTTCATAGCCTCAGAGCTCAAATGACTCACAGGGAACCCGAAAGTCCTCAGATGACAGACACCTGCAGGACTCTCCCAGGTCCCATCTCTTCTTTGACTGGACACCCAGGAGAATCTGGAGCAAGCAGAGACCCCCCCCAGGCATTTCCCTCCCACCTCTGAAGCACCTGGGAGTCAAGTCTCTCACTCCCAGGTGCAGGGGTGTGTGTCCAGGCCACCTGTCAGCCTGTCTGCCCTCCACAGTCACCCACTCACAGGGACCATTCACACCCTTGGGTACATCTCTTTAATATATAATTTTTATTTCTGGTTATAGAAACAAACACTAAGAGGAGAAAACAGAGCTTCCCCGCCCACATACAACAATCGAATAGATAAAAGAACAGTTCAAATGGATGAAAAAGAAAAGTAGAAATTTTCCACTTTGTTATAGATTTAAAACATTAACGTCTAATAAAAGTTAGAAATCACATTCAGGTGTCAAACTCTTTTTTTAAAAAAAGGATGGTTCTGTTATAAAAAAAATACTGTATCCCGTTTGAAATGAATGCCCAGGTGATGCTGCTTGGGATGTGGGTCCACAGGCCTTTCTGATCCCAGCCCTTAACTCTACCTCCTGGGTGGGACCTTCACCCACTGAGGTGGGGCATGTCCCATATCTGGAACTGGGATTCCCAGCGCATAGGATACCACTGCTTTTAAAGCACTATGTGTTAAACATATCATGGAAACACTTTAGACAGCCACTGTATAAAACAAAAACAAAACCACACATGTGAGCGCGCACACACATACTCCCTGAACACCCTCCCCCCAGTTACTTTTACAGAATTATCATTCAGTTAAGAAAAAGAACAGCCTCACTATTGGCTTTAGCCCCTCCCTCACACGTGCACAGCTGCTGCCCCCTCCCCCCGGACACAGCAGAATTCTAGGAGAGACCTGGAAGACAGTTTGGGCCTCTCCTTCCTGCCCCCACGACCTTTTTCCCAGCCCAGGAATCAAGCTAAGGTATTATTAGGGATTCCAGATCCCCCCCCCCCAGGAAGGATATTAAGAAGGGAAGATGGGAGAGAGGGTTGAAAATGAAAATGTTAGACTTTTTTTTTAATTCCCAATTTTACTAATTAAAAAGAAAAGTTCTAGTTCAGCCAATTCGGACTCAAGAGGCCAGGGCATCACTTAGTTGGATACATACAGGACAGAGAACATGAATACTCAGTGGATCATGGGGCTCACTCTACAAGGTTAGCATAGCCCCCAGGGACTCAGGGTACAGTGCTGAGGTTGCTCTGATGGCGGCAAGTGCTCAGATGCAGAGGGCATGGACAAAGCCTGGGCACTGTCTACCTTCAAGCTTCGTCTCTACTCCTGGGGCCCAGGTTCCTCCACACCTTCTGTTCATTTTGTGAGTAGTCAAAGGAGCAAGGATTCGGGAGGTAAAGCATCAAGCTCTTTTGATCCTCTAACTCTCAAGAGGTAGGGCTTAGGGGACAGATGATGGCTAGAGGAGAGGGTTCTGGGGGTCCTGGGCAGCCTGTGTTTGCAAGCTGAGCCCAAGTATACTGCTTTTCTCCGAGAGTGAAGCCCTCCTCGTGAAGTTTCCTCTTGGAGAGAGATGCCCACGGTTAAGGGATCTGCTCCCTTTGCCACTGATGCACCAGCTTTGAGGGCTAAGACAGAGGTGAAGGCAACCCTTAGCATGCAGTTCCCCCGGCTCACCTTCCCCTAGCTCCTGCCATGCTGCCCTCTGGATGGCCACTCCCTCTCACCCAGAACTTCAGGGGACCCTCTGTCTTGCCTCACACCCAGGTGGTACTTCCGGATAAGGCATGTAGCTGGTCTCATCCATGGGATGTGCCAGGGTGTTTGACTCTGACCACCTGGATGGTAGTTCTAGAATGTTCCCTACAGCAGCAGAGCTGAAGCCTGCCAGAGAGAAGCTCACAGTGCTGGAGAAGAGAGAAGAGGAGCAGGTAGGACCAGCCAGGGTCACTCAAGTAGCTTTGTTTTTTTTTTTTGTTTTTTGTTTTTTGTTTTTGTTTTTGTTTTTTTAACACAAGTAGAAAACTATTTTCCCTGAAAACCGTCAGTGAAATGGGTCTGTGTTACTTCAAAGGAGATGCCTGTGGTTGACTCTCAGAACTCCACTTGCCAAGCTGGTGGGCCTTCAGGGGTTAGCAATGGGGAGGCCAGAGGGAGGGAAGAGGTAACCCCAAGAACAGTCCATTGGATAGTTCCAAATTGTTCAAACCACAGGCTGTGGGAAGTGGGTGCCATGTGCTGGTCTGTAGGGGCATCTAGGCCACACCCTCCTCTGTTACCAACATAGCAGCTTTTGGTACAGAAAAAAGAAAAAGAAACCCAAACCAAAAAACACAAGGAGCACTGGGCCACAGTGACACATAGGCCCATTACCCTAGCAATTCAGGAAGCTGAGACGAGAGGGTTGCAAGTTCAAGGCCAGCCTGGGCAGTTTTGTGAGACCCTGTCTCAAGTTTAAAAAAATCAATAGGGCTGGGCTGGGTGTGTGGCTCAGTGGCAAGGAGCCCTTGCCTAGAGGCTTTACCTAGTGCATTTGAGGCCCTGCATTTAATCTCCAGCACCACAAGAAACAAGACAAAACAAACCCCAAGAACGGAAGAAAACAAAAACCCAGAGCCCAACAAGTAGGTGATGCCAGAACCACTCTGAAGTCAAGGGGGCTCACAAGATGAAAGGGGACTGGGAACAGGCCTGCAGTGGCAGGTGGGAGTCAGAGGAGGCCTTGGCTATCGTCTGTTCCCAGCCCTCACCTGCCTCCCCCAAGCCTAAGTGCATGTTGGAGACCCTGCTCCCCAGGGAAGCTGGAGTCAGCAGCTGTGATCTTTGGGACAACTTGACTTACCCTTTGTAATATTGCTTCTTAAGCAGAGGTATTCTGAGAGACCGGAGGTGAGGCGACACAGGCCACCACTTTGTCACCCTGAGCCAAAACAAGTGGCTACCCTGTGGAGATTTTACCACTAGTGATCGGGATGCGCTGCTCCCTACACAAGGGATCTTTCACCAGAACAGAGACTCACTCACTTCCTGACTTACTTTAGGGCAGGCACTGAGCTATTCAGATGGGGAGGGAAGGGCTTGGTCAGCAAGGTAGGGGTGCCCACTCCAGAGCGGGCAACGTCACATGGGTGCAATGTGGGATTTGAGGTTTTTGAGGAAAAAAGCACTTAACATTCCATTCCACCACCGTTTCTTTCCCATGGGAAACATTTCTTGCTTTTAACTCTTTTACCACTGCCCAAAGGGGTCCCCTCATTTCTGTAAAGGAAGACACTGACCCCATCACCTGGCTGTACCCATTTCTAGCTATCCCAGATTACGGTGGAAGGCCATTCCTTCTTTCAGAGGAAAAATGAGTGGTACCTATTATCTCAGACCCCGGAGAGCCTGGGGCGGGGGCGGAGGCGGGAGCGGGAGGTGGTAGATCTGTAGCTTATTTGGTGTAGAAAGTGGGAAGGGGACAGTGAGTCAGATACCCCACCTTGCACAATGGCAAGGCTCTGTGAGCTGATGACAGACATGTTTAGCATGCCCTGGCCGCCAAGCTGAGGTAGGGGAGAAGACAGAAGAGGCAAGGAGGAGGGAGAGAAGATAGGAATAGGAGGGGGAAGATAAGGGGAGGGAAGAGGAGGAAAAGGAAGAGATTGGCAGGGGAGGAGGAACAGAGCGAGAGTGCAAGCAGGCAGGGTCTCTTTGCTTCCAGTCACCATGGTAACTTCCTATGCTTGCAGCATCTTGAGTCTGGCAAGTCCCAGATACAAAGCAGAAGACAGTAGATGTGTGGACAGCCAGGCACCTGATCTGCCAGGCAACACTTACCACAACAGGGCAAGCTCAGTACCAGAGATGGGGACCCCAGTGTGCCAGTTCCCCAGCCATGGTCTACACAGTCGATGGTCATGGTCTTTCTGGCCCCTGGCCCAGGCTCTGGTTTCCACAGATAGTTTAGATGAACTCCACTTGGTGTCCCAGAGTTCATGGGAGCAGGTTTCAGCTGGCTATCCATTCCTGCTCTGAGCACTGGCTATTCTGGGTCTGTGGCTCTTGTGGGCAGAAGCTGGTACAAGTCAGGGATACTGCCTGGTAGATGACCAAATCCATTTCCAGAGCAGCAGCACCAGGCTAGCCTTCTCCTTTCTAGCTCAGGCTGCCCAACTAGAGGCACAGGACCCTCTGCCTTAAGGTCCTGTAGGACACTGGGACAGTGTATTCCACTCTCTCCCTCCACATCCTTCCACGCCTGTGTTAATGGTGACAGGATCTGCTGCAGAGGATGGAGACCATGGTGTTTTAGCAGCCTGGAGAGCAAACAGGTCAGGGCCATTCTGAGACCTGATGACAGATGTGGCAGATGGTGACCCATAGTTCCATGTGGAGGTTGCACAGTGCCTACAATGACAATCCACACATAATCTTAATCTGCCTTGCAGGGTGACCCTGCACAGCCTTGGAGTAAATGGTGATGGAGGGGAAGATCAGTAGGTGGCACTAATGTCCCTTGTGGCCTCAGCCCATTCCCGCTTTCCCTAACTCCATGCTCACACCAGGCACACAGAGACGACAAGTTCATGCCAGGCACAAAGAGATGTGGGATAGAGCCCTCTGTCTGCTCCAAGGAGCAGTTCCACCTGGAAAACCCTCCCCCAGCCACAGCCACCTCAGCCCCACCTCTCTGAAACCTCCCAGACAACAGACAGGAAGCCTTCAAAACACAGCTTACTTCCAGCTTGAAGTTTAGTACTACAGAAACGACTGGCTGGGGAGCTTGGAAGATAGCTCAAGAGGGCCGGACAGGCACTCCACACTGGTCCCTGATGTATGTGGGGAATTGGTGGCTCCAATGGTGGCAGCTATGGGGTGGAGCTTGGGTTCATCCAACTGGATTATCTGCTTTGGTGTGACCACAGCCTCCAGGTCATTGACTGGCATCCCTTCCAGCAAAGGCAGCTTGTACAGCTGCGGCCCCTTCCTTCCCTGGGATTGCCTGCTTTTTGCTCATTGGCTCTTTGCTCTTCTGGCCCATGCAGAGGCAGAAGGATGGTGGGAGGCTGATGCAAAGGATAAGTAGACTCTTATGGGGCTCTCTGCCCAAGCTGCTGCTGTTGCTTATGGCTCACCCTCCAGGAGGACCAACACTGAGCTTCTGACTGCCTTGAAGTGCCCTGTCATGCAGCCAGGAAACGTTCAAAGGCTCCTAGTTCTGTGACTTGGTGTATGTCGAAAGGTGCTGCTGGTAGCTTGTCAGGGCATGCAAAGGGACCTTCGCTGGGGACCCAAGTCCTGGGCTGGTCCCCATACTTTGGTTCTTGCCACACTATAATCAAACTTGGCACCAACTGCTGTCCGGAGAGGTAGTTTCCTTTCCGGTGGATAATGGCCAGGGACCCCCAGCTTCAGGTAGAAGAGAGGGTTTCCATTTGCAAACTGGACATGTCTTGGGGTGCCCAAGAAACTGGAATGTGTGAGGAAAAGACAGTATGAGCACAGCGTTGCACAGATCCTCCAGCTGCCAGAAACACAGGACACATTCCCTGCCATCTTCCACTGGCACGTGCCAATATCCTCCCTGCTGAGCAAGGGGCTGGCTGACATCCCCTGAAGCTTCCCTGGTTTCCCTGGATATCCGCTGTAGCTTGCAGCTCTCGGCTCAGGCAGCGCTGTGGAAATGGATGCCACGGGTGCTGGCCCTGGGCTGATTTTTCCACCCAAAGCACTTTACAGCATTAATGTGGGAGCCGCTGATCCTTCTTGGAGTTATCTGGGAGAGCGGCATGTTCAACGGGCTGGTGTGGGCAAGTGCCCGCGCCTGCAGCTGCTCACCTGGCTACCAGAGGGAACTCCAAAGACATGTGAACCCTTCCGTGTGTCTCACTTTTGAGATGAGCCCACATTCCAACATTCCATGTTTAACTGTAGGAAATATTTTAGGGTCCAAAGCCAAGGTAGACCTCCTGACCCCAGTTAATGCCGAAACCTATGTCACTTTTGGGGAGAGGATTGTGCATCCCAGCCACAGGCTGGGATGTTCCCGCCGCTCTGTTCTCTGGTCAGTTCCCACTCAGTTACAAACAGGAAGTCTGTGGATTGGCTCCCAAGGAGAGCAGCCTGGGTTTGTGCTGCACCTCTGTCCACTCGTGGGGCTCATTCTTCTTGAGGGTGCTGGCTGGGATTGGTTCCTGAGGAGCTGGGCTAGACCTTGTCCCACAGAACTGGGGAGAGGTGATGGCATGAGGGAGGGGGAAATAAACACACAGAACCCCCAGATTCATACAATCAAGTTGTCTGAACGTGTTTATGTGTTTTGTTTCAAACCATGGGAGGACAGGAGATAAAAAGGAAATTGTTCAGGTGTGGTGGCCACGCTCATGGCGCATGTGCTGCAGACAGCGGTGAGGTTCTCGACTCCGTCCTTGAGTGCAGCTGCTAGCCACCTGGGCACCTGCGGCGTGAGTCCCACTCCACCTTCCTGTAGGTGACTTCACTCGCCGGTACCTGGGCCCTGTGGGCCAGTGGCTGCCATTGCTGTGGGCTGTGTGGTGGCTGTCCCACTGGGCTCCTCTACCCGGGACCTCTTGACCTCAGGCTCCCCACTGGAAGAGGCAGGTGTGGTAGTGGAGGTTGCTGGGGTCGGCGTGGCATTAGTGGCCGCCGAGACAGCTGCTGTTGGCTCCTCAGGCCCTACCTCGCACACTCGGGTGATGACTACTGGCGTGGATGAACTCGCCTGGGCGGCCAGGAGCTGCAGGGGGCTGGTGAGGGCTGGTAGCAAGAAGAAGAGGTTACTTAAGAGCCACCACTCATTGATCTGAGCAGTAAAGGCAGAGCCATGGTGGTCCTGCCACTCCTCACATGGGCTTCCTTTCCTTTCCCTGCCCACGGCAAATCTGGGTCAGACATTCAACACCTGACACCCGACTCAGGGCCCCTCTCATTTGCTGCTCCTGTCACCCTGAGGACATCTCTCCCTCCCTCTAAAGCCCCTCTGTGATACCTACTCTTGATTATCACCTCAGTGGGATTTACAAGTGCCAAGGGAACAAACCTCTGGGCATGTCTGTGAGGGGCTTTCTAGACTGGGGGTCACACAGAGGGGAGACCTGTCCTGGAGGTGGTGACCCCTTCCTACTCTGGGCTCCAAAAATAAACGAAGTAGAGAGTGAGCTGAGGCGCAGCTTCCTCTCCCTCAGCTGCCCGACTTCCCAGCCACGATGGGCTATACCTTCAAAGTGAACAAAAAGAAACCCTTTCTTTCTTAAGTTCCTTTCAGGCATTTTATTATAGCACAAGAAAAGTAACTATCATACTCCAGCACACAGAGACCTAGCCACTAGCACCCCGACCCCTGCCTGATTTCTGCTTCTGACCTCCCGTCACGCTAGGGGACATCTGGTCTCTAGGTGCTCTCGGAGGGGAAAAGCAAGTGCTCTCCCGAGCTGCACTGACTGTGGGCAGGTCCCTGGCACCCAGGGTTCAGGCTAAGGGTAGGCTGGGGCCTCACCATAAGCGTTGCCAGTTAAGCTATTCGTGGGCACAGCATGTTTCCCGTTCTGAGTGACAGCCCGGACTGGAAGATGGTGCTGCCCGATGGTCACTGGTGTGGCTGGCTGCAGGATGGTGACTGTGTGCCCAGGGACTCCTGGAGCCATCTGGCTGGCGACCGTCTGGATAACTCGGCTGGCTGCAGGGATTGTGGCAAATGCTATGGTAGGTTTCTCTTCCAAACCTGTGGGGCAGGCAGCCAGTCAGAACCACACAAGGCCCCAACCACTGAGTCCCACCAAGGCTTCAGCATGAAGTTGGCTAAGGGGCTGGGGAATGGGATGCCACTAGAAGAGCGGGCGTCCCAAAAGAATCCTTGCAGATATGTTTAAATTAACAGGGCTTTAAGAACATGCTGGGTGTAGGAGGATCAAGAATTCAAAGTCACCCTTGGTTACACAGAATTCAAGGTCAGTATTGGGCTTCACAAGACTGCCTCAAACACCAAAAACAAAATAAAAGTAAATGAAATATATATACCTTTAACTGTAACCAATTCAAATTTAATCTGTGGGGCAAAATGTATCATTTGGAATGAGACAGATTGCTTTTAGTGCTGTGACTATCTCTTTCACCAGGATGCCACTTCTATGATTATAATTTATTATCACCTTGTCATTGCTAGTGGATGGGGATCCTATCTAAGGTCACATGCATGCTGGGTCTCTGCCACTGAGCTACATCCTCTGACCCCCCCCCTTTAATTAGTTAAGTTACTCAGGGTGGCCTTGGGCTTGTTGTACAGCCCAAGCTGGCCTCCGCCTCCCAGTAGCTGGGAAGACAGGTCTCTGCCACCAGGCCAAGCTTGTTTCCATAATGACAACAATAAAACACAAAGTTAACACTGAAACTGAGTTCCCAGTGTAAATAACAACCAAGAGAAGATGCTTTCTAGAAAGTTTTGGGGCTGCCTTTCAGAAACTGGGCACACTGCCAACATCTACCCCCCAAACCCTCTGGGACCAGGTTTCTTTTGGAAGTGGGCATGGGTGCATGCCGGTAACCTCAGCACTGCTGGGGTGAGATGGCAGGGAGTCTGAGGCCAGGCCAGCCAGGATACATATTGCAACACTGTCAAAGAAATCAATTAAGTAGGGGCTGGAGAGATGGTCCGGTGGCTAAGCACACCCACATAGTGGTTCACAAGTGTCAGCTCCAGTTCGAGGGTATCTGGTGCCCTCTTCTGGCCTCCTTTGGCACTGCACACATGTTATAGGCACTGTGGACAAACACCCAACCACACCAAATAATAATTGAAAACAGATCAAATAAATGAATAAATGAATAAGGACTGCAACCCAAATGTCACCTTGAATGGAAACAAAATTCAAGCAAACAGCTTGTGCATCAGAAAGCTCTGTCAACCAAGGAAGAAGTACCCAGGGACAATCCATATTACCTGAAAATGACTTAAAAAGAAGACAATAACCCAAGACCCACTTCCCTTCACCCACCGCCCACTTAGTGGACTCTGAGTGTACGGCCCAGGCTTACACTGCCCAACAGTAACAACTGTGCTGGGACCCTGCTAGGAACACAGGTATGGCCACATTACCTCTTGTCTCATTGCCCAGGTCCAACACGGCTGTGCCTGCTGTGTCGTGGGAGGCCCCGGCTGAGCCCTGGCTAGCGAGGATGTACCCATTGGCTGAGTTGGCAGAGGTGGTTACCACCCTCACCATGGTGACGGTGGGGGCCTGCTGTACCACATGGATAGCATGGCCTGGGGGCTGCTGTGAGGTCACTATGGAAGCTGGCATGTAGGCCACAGGCTTAGCCACTAAGTTGGAAGGTCGGGGAGGGACAGCCATAATCACCGGCTGGGCGCTGACAGGGGATCCTGTGGGATGACACAGAGGATAGTGACTTGGTGGGTGCCATTCAGTCTGTCACATCCAGGAAGAGGATGAACCTGTGTCTTACCCGGGGCGCTCTGGGAATAGCGATACTCTGGAACAGAGGCTAACTTTGACCCCAAGTCGGGATCATGTGGAATGGGGGAGCCCTCCCGCGACAGGCACTCTGGGGTCTGCAGGCCACTGGAACGAGGGGACATAAGTCCAGGGTGGGTGGGTGAAGCTGGAGCACTCCTGAAATGAAGAGAAAGCTACTTCACAATAAAAGTAAAATACAAAGACAATCCCCACCCCTATACCTCTGTTCAACAATTCCTAAGATATGCCCCATGTCCACCCCTACATCTAACTCAATGATTCCTGGAATACGGCCCAACCCCAGACTTTCAGGGATCCACCCCATCTCCTCATGTCTCTGACCCACAATTCTAGGAGCTTCTTCTCTCTTCTCTTCTAAGGTTTTCCCAGATCTAATGTTCCTTGCTGACCAAGACCCAGCATTGCCATTTCCACTCAGTGGGTAGCTGGGTGGATAGGTGCTCCATTAAACAGGGCTGAAGAGATAAAGGATGGATTGCCTCCTAGCAACTGCACATCTTGTAGCATGCACTGCCTGCCTAAAAGGTCCTACTAACCTCCAGGAGAAGCTCAGGCCTATGTCAAAAGAAAAAACTAGTAGCCAGGTATAGCAATGCAAGCCTGTTGTCCTTGCTACTTAGAAGGCAGAGGCAGGAGGATCTTAAGCACAAGGCCTGCCTGGACTATAGGGGGAGTTTCAAGGCCAGCCTGTTTAACTTAGCAAGACCCTGACTCAAAATGAAAAGTGAAACAAACATGGATGGGGATGCAGTTCAACGGTAGAGCCCCTGCCTAGAATCCCCCAGTGAGGGGCTGAGGTGTGGCTCAGTGGTAAAGCCCTGGCTAGCAGGATGAGGCCCTTGGTTGAATCCCCAGTACTACAAAAAACAAAAACAAGAACAAAAAATACAAAAACAAAAAACCCAAACAAACAAACAACAAACATAAACAAAAACCCAAACTGCCAAATTGCTACTGCATGACCACAATGACTGTGATATCTTAGACACACAAGAGGCCAGTGCCGATGCAGGCATTCCTATCCCTGAGAAACCCCTCCCCGGGACAGAAAGCACTAAGCTCTGCTTTCCTGAGAGTACCCACCACTTGCTGGTCACCTGACCTCTGCTGGTCAGGAGTCTCTCATCTGAGAGTGACTATAGGCAGACTCAATGCTATTATAGAAATGTTGGCTCCTATGAACCATACATGGCCAGAGAGCTGTCCAAATGGCCTTTACTTGCCAGGCAAGTGCAATGCCCAATGGTGCTGCTGATGGTGGAGAGTCCATCCATTCCAATCCTGCCTGCCAGCAGACGAGTTACACTCCCAACCTGACAACATTAATGGTAGAGGGAGCTCCAGGTTCCTCAATCAGCAGGGGTCTCTTGTCCTTTGACCTGGTTATGGCTGCCTCAACTTCCTGTACACACTACAGAAGTAGCCAGTAACCACCTTGCTAACTGTTCCAACCAGCACAGGAGCCTGAGAACTGGACACGTAGTACACACCTCCAAGCTCAGCAGGGCTACCTTGAGTTCAAGGCCAATCTGCCCACAAAGGGAGACTTTGTCTGGAAACTAAAAAGCAGCAAAGATAGAAGCTTAATGGTCTAAGAACCCAAAAAAAAAAAAAAAAAAAAAAAAAAAAACAGATCAAGAAGTCTTCAAGTGCTAAGTCCCTCCCACTGCTGTGATCTGGAGAATCTAGATTCTCAGAGGAGTTATGGGGCGGGGTGGGGGTGGGGGGCCAGTGGAGGGGTGCTTACCGTGAGGACAGAGGCCCGAAGGGGGTGCGGAAGCAGGAGACACCTCTCTGTCTCCGCTTTCGGAATGCTTGTTCCACAAGTTTGGCTTCAGAGGCAGGGTCTATTCGCCAAAAAGAGCCCTTCCCAGGCTCCTCCTGGGACCGAGGGACTTTGATAAAGTAACGGTTAAGAGAGAGGTTGTGTCGGATAGAGTTCTGTAGGAGACAGAGAGAGACAGCTGTGGGTCACAGCCACCAAAGGGCAGACCTCACAACAGCTGCAGCAGGAACTGATGACAGGCATGTGTCCCCTCCTGGGGAATAGGTGGGGCACGGGGTAGGCCCTCCTGTGCAATCTCCACACGGTAAAATCCACCCCTGTTCTTTTGGAAGACACAGATGAACAAGGGTGCAGGATCTCGTTGGGAATGGAGAAAAGATGAGGCTGACCAGGCACATCTTGATTGCTGGGTGTGGGAGCTCATGCCTGTCATCTGAGCCATTGACTCAGCAAAGCTCCTTGTGGAGCTGGGGTTGTAGTTCAAACGGTGCCAGCATGGTGTGTGCACAGCTGTAATCTCAGCACTAAGGAAGTGGAGGCAGGAGGACCAGAAGTTTAAGGTCAATGTGGGCTACAAAGAAAGTGCAAAGCCAGCCTGGGATACATGAGACCTTGCCTCAAAAGAAAAACAACAACAACAAAAAGATTTTTCTGGAGAAGCTAGCCAATGGAAAATGCTAATTATAGAGAAAAGAATAAAACGGCATAATCTGTGTTCATTGTGTGTAATGCAGAGGTCTCATAGTCTCCAAGAAGGATAAAGTGCACAAAACTCAAGCAAGTGGACCACTGCACTAAATGATGGGGGCAGTGTACTGCTAAAGTCACAGGGGGTTAGAATGAATGCCCAGTAAGAATAGATGCCATTGGTAGCAGGTGTGGTGGTGGCTCAAGATTGATCCCAGCACTCAGGAGGCTGAAGCAGGAGGACTGCCATGATTTCAAGGCTAGCCTGGGCTACAGTGTGAGACACTGTCTCAAAACAACTAAAAAGAAAAATGTTGCAGCTAGGCATAAATGGAAAGTAGTAAAAACGCATCCTTTTAGGGCTGGGGTGTGGCTCAGTTGGTGTGTGTGCTTAGCACGCATGAAACCCTGGGTTTCATTCCTAGCACTGCACAAATGGGCATGGTGGTACATGCCTGCAGTCCCAGCACTTCATGACCAGGAGGTCATCCTTGGCTACATAAGAAGTTTGAGGCCAACCTGGGCTACATGAGACCTTTTCACAGCAACAAAACAAAAGGAGTTCTACATTGGCTCTTGCATACCACAGAAGGTCCCGAGCGTCACCTGGGAAAACACCCAGGTATCTCGTCGCTGTTTGTTCACATGAAGTACCGAGTCAGTATCTGAACCTCCAAGCACAGCCCAGGCCCCCAGGGCCTCACCTGCCAGCCCTTGTCAGCAGTCCTGTAGTAAGGGTAATGTTTGGTGATGTGGGCGTAGATGCCACTTAGTGTTAGCTGCCTGTCCTGTGCCGAGGAGATGGCTTGCACGATCAGCTGCGCATAGGAGTATGGTGGCTTCGACTCGTCCTAGAGGGCAAGGTTCACAGACAACAGAGTTATGGGGGCAGTGGAGGGAGAGGGTAGGATAGACTCTCCCCAAGCCAGGCCACCCACTCCTGACACAGGAGTCTGGATAAGTCACACCCGGAGGCCTGCCTCATCCATTAGCATGCTTGTATTAAACTCTGAACAATGGCATATGGTGGACTGCACCTGCTCCTTGAAATTGGAAGGTTGAGGCAGGAGGATTGCCTTGATTCTGAGGTTAGCCTAGATTATGGCTGAGACCTTGTCTCAAAAACCCAAATAACAACAATGGAAAGACTTGAGAACCCTTTGGCCAGGTGTGATGCATACTATAGTACCAGCACTTGAGTTTTAGGCCAGCCTCAGCCACACAAGTCTCTCAAAAAAAAGACAAGACAAAATGAAGAGGACCTGCAGAAGCGGCTGAGTGTATAAAGAGCTCACCATGCAACCATTAAGACCCAAATTCGGATCCTCAGTACCCAGGCAAAATGCCAGACATGGTGCCACACATGTGATCCCAATGATTCCTTGACTGCCCAGCCTAAACTAAAAGGTGAGCACGTGTTCAGTAAAAGACTCGATCTCAAAAAAAAAAAAAAATAAAAAAAAAAAAAAATAAAGCGGAGAGGGCTGAGAAAGACATGGCATAGGCCAGCACAGCTATACGTGTCTATGTACGTGCAGTCACTACAGACAAGAAAAAGACAGAACAGAAATACCAAGTCCCAATTCACAGGAGAGAAAACCGGCCTGAGGCACAACTCTGAAGCTCTTATTCCCCAGCACATGGTCAGGGACCAAATGAACAGGAACAAAGGCACACGTGGCTGGCCTGGGGGTGCAGACCTGGCATAGAGGCTACTCAGAAGGTTGACGCAGGAAGGTCACAAGTTCAAAACCACCTGGGCTACTTAGTGAGACTTTGTCCCAAAATAAAAAGTAAAATAGGGGTTAGTAGGTAGCAAAATGCTCCTGAGTTCAATTCCTGGAACTGTCAATAGGGGGTAGATAAAGCCAGGTAGTAGCAGCATACACCTTTAATCCCAGCACTCAGGAGGCAGAGGCAGATGGCTCTCTGTGAGTTCAAGGCCAGCCTGGTCTACACAGCAAGTTCCAGAACGGGTTCCAAAGCTACAGAGAAACCCTATATGGGGGGGGGGGGAGAGAGAGAGAGAGAGAGAGAGAGAGAGAGAGAGAGAGAGAGAGAGAGAAGGTGTAGAAAAGAAAGAAAAATGTGTCATTTGTCTTAAAGACTATTACTAACTCTGAAACTGTCACCAGTAGTGGTTGGAACTGGGTGGGCGACAGGGTTCCAGCTCACCACAAATGCTCAAGCACATCATTTGGGAATGGCACGGGCAGATCCTTTAAGGCAGCCATGTGCTGCACCCTGGAGTACCCAGTCTGAGCCACCCTCAGGACCCATACTGTGGGTGGGGTCTTGGTCACCATGACAACACGTTTGAGGCTCAGACCTTGGGGCTGTCCCCACCAGACGTGTCTGCTTGCTGCTCAGAGGCTGCCTTTGCTGCGAACTCTGCGGCCAGCTGAAGGTCTGATGTCACGTTCTGGACGAAGCGGTAACTGGACGACCCAGCTCCTCGAGGACTGGCTGGACAGGAGTTAGGAACACTGCAGAGAAGAAAAACACATGAGACTCTGGGAGGGGACACTGCTTCTGGACCATGATGGAAGGAGGTGACACTTCTGCCTTACTGGCAAGATCACTGGGTGACCAGTTTCAGAGAAATGGAGAAATACAACCAAAGAACTCAAGAGACAACAAATATGCATTGCTCTCTCCTCTAAAGCTAAGACTAAATAAAGCTGCAGGAAGTCAAGCCCCCAGGCCATGGTTCCTAAGCAGGAAAGCTTTAGCCTGGATTGCTCCAGCAAAAGCGAGCTGTAAAGAGACAGCTAATGAGAAGGTGACCACAAGATGGCACCCTAAGAACGGGCTTGGATAGCGAGTAACTCCACACAGGAGGAAACTGCAGGAGGTGGCAGGGGCCTGCTGGCAGGCAGAGAAGGAGGCACACAGAGTTCTCTGGCCCAAGCCATCAGCTCAGCAGTGAACTACCCCTGGGGAGGCCAGCACAGCTGTGGGCTGTGCAGGACAGGACCTGGCCAGTCCCACCTGGATCCCAGGGCTGACGTTGGTTGGCTGATCATCGAGTTAATGGATTAAGACAGGGTCTAGTAGGCCAGTGAGCTGGCTCAGCATGTGAAGATGCTTGCTGCCAACAAAGACCACCTGAGTTCAATCCCCAGGACCCACATGGTGGAAGAATGTAATGACTGCCACAGGTTGCCCTCTGGCCTCCACATGACACACGACACACACAGGCAGGCGCACGCGCGCGCGCGCGCGCGCGCGCGCACACACACACACACACACACACAGAGGTGTGCACGCACATAAATACAATGAAATGTAAAAGTTGAAAACCAAAACGCTTCAAACAGGAAGAAGTAGCTAACACTGAAGGGGGGGGGGTTGCTCCTGTCAGCATCCTGCATGCTGCCTCCACCCTCATTGCAGACAGCCTCTGACATCATCCCTGTCAAAACCTGTGGCTGCAGGAGGATAAGTGTCAGGACATGGCTCTCTTCCACTGCCTGCAGCTCCTCCAACTGTGGGAAACACACAGAAGGTCACTGCTCTCTAGCATGCCTGGACCCTGCCTCATCTTGGAGCTATTTCTTCTGTAGGGATGTCTCGTGCTTCCCAAACTCACCTGCACAGACTGTGTCCCTGGGATATGACCCCATGGGTGGCCACTGGCCCATCTCCCTCTTTCTGGGAGCTATTCAGGACTGAGCAAGGGGCCAGCGAAAGCTCGCTCAGGCATAGTGGGAGGATGCATCCCTCCCAGGGTCATGCAGGAAAGAGGGGTACATGCCACACAGAATCTTGAAACCTTTAGTTTGAGAATTCACATTCTCTTCTCCTTTGACCACCTCAAATTTTGGTAATTTCTGTGCTTGTAGAACTGGTATGCACACCTCGGCCTCTTCCCTTCCCTATGTCCTTACGACCCAGCTGAAGCCTTGATATATCAAGTTCAGTAAGTAAACTGAGACCCCAAAAGGAGGGAAACAAAAAGAAACTTTCCCTGAGGTCTCTTTAAAAGGTAGAGGGGGTCCTCATTATGTAGCTCAGGCTGGTCTCAAACTCATCATCCTCTTGCCTCATTTTTCTGAGTGCTAGAAATATAGGCATGAACCACTACAGCTGGCTTGGATTTAATTCTGTCATTCTTCTCCCTGAGATGGGGGTCTCATTATGGCCTGGAACTTCCTATGGGGCCAATGTGGGGATTCCCAAGCATGACACCACACTAGGCTGGATTTAATTCTGAATCTAAAATATAAATCCAAGTACAGGGTGGGGAGACTGGGAGTGGATAAATCTTCAACATCTATACACTCAAAAGTCAGATTTCACTGGGCATGGAGTAGCATGCCTTTCATCCCCAGTTCTTAGGAGGCAGAAATAGCCATCCTGGTCTACAATCAAATAAATTAAGTTTTAAAGACAAGGTTTCAAAACCAGACTTAGAGCAGAGACATGGTCATGGGGAATGTGGCTTGGAGGTGAGAGCTGCCAGCAGGGCCTCATCAAGCAGTGCAGGCCTCTGCAGTGCATTTGGTACCCTGCCCCAAGCCTGGGCCCATCAATGCCCTCAGAGTTTACCTTAATAACAGGAGACATCATGTCTCACTAGTGACCATGGGGCTGGGAAGTCACCAAGATCACAGCACACCTCCTAGTGACAGGCCATGGACACCCTGCTTAGGTGGGAGTGAGCGAAGGGGGGCTCATTTCAGGAAACTGAAAATCTTGTGTGAGGCCATGGAGGTTGCAGAGCGTGCATCCTGCCAGTTCTGAGGGCACAGCGTGATGGTGGGGCCATGCTGTCTGTTTCTACATCTTGTATGATATAGAAGTGCAAAATCCATCACAAATGCAAAATCCAAAGTTGAGGTCTTCAGAGCCCACAGGAAGGTTAGATGAACTGACAAACAGGGTTTAGCAAAGTCCATCTGAGAAACAGGAAAAGAGTCAAGGGCCAGACCTGATGGTTGTATGCCTGTCATCCCAGCTACTGGGGAAGCTGAGGCAAGAGGAATGAGTTCAAATCTAGTCTGGGAAACTTAGTGAGACTCAGTCCCAAAATAAAAAAATCAAAACAGGTGACAACAGTAGTTCAGTGAGGGGCTGGGGGTGTGATTCAGTAGTAGAGCACCTGCCTAGAATCCCCCAGTGAGGGGCTTGGGGTGTAGTTCAGTGGCAGGATGCTTGTTTAGCACATTCAAGATTCTAGATCACATGTTCATTATGCACTGCCCCGACCCCTACCCCCACTCCCAGGAAGCAACCTCTACTTCTTCAGCCCAGCTCACGCCAGTGGCCTCTGTGCAGCCACAGCCGGGATGTGCAGTGAATGGCTCAGACTTGCAGCCTGTGATGACAGTTTCCCAGCAGCACCTCCAGAGCTCGCGTGCCTTTCATCACTTGTCTGCACCCCACCTCTGAGCAGCCTGTTTCTCAATCCAGCCCAATGAACCATCCTTGCAAGCAGGCTGCCAAGGAGAGAGCTGCGCCTGAGACAGGGCCACCCTGCTGCTGGAGCTCAGGTCTCAGAGCTGAAAAATGGCCCATTGGGGCCACTGCAAGTCAGGTGAATCCCAGACCCTGAGCAGAGCTTCCTAGTCTCTGAGAACACACGGTACAGTGGTTCTCAACCTTCCTAATGCTGTGACCCTTTAATACAATTCCTCATGTTGTGGTGACCCCCAACCATACAATTATTTCATTGCCACATCATAACTGTAATTTTGCTTCTGTTATGAATCGTAATCTAAGTATCTGATATGCGACTCCTGTGATATGGTCATTCGATCCCCAAAGGTTGAGAACCACTGACATACAGGGATTTGGGAAAGCCACCTAGGAAAGAGAAAATTTACACCAGTTTACTTGTGTTTGGGAGGCCAAAGCAAGAGGGTAGGGATTGCAAACCAGCCTATTGCAGCAAGACTCTGCCTTTAGAAGCAACAGAAACAAACAGAGCCTAAACAAACCTGCCCTTAAAAACTGTCTGTCCTCAAAGAAACAAAGAAAAGCTGTGAATGGACCTGCAAGGTTGTCCTGATCCAGAGATGATGGTACAATTCGGAAAAATTCCCAAGACACTGGGATAAGCACACACTGAACCTTCAGATGATGCTTTCTGCTCCCAGACAGGGGCAGAACCCTCCCTGTGGGAACCCAAGCTGGGATGTATTCCAAGACAGACCGACTGGCTCCACCCTGGAAGGGCAGACCCGGTACATGGTGAAGGGCAGGCTTGGGGTGTGTGTGTGTGTGTGTGTGTGTGTGTGTGTGTGTGTGTGTGTGTGTGTGTGTGTGTGTGTGTGTTGGCATCTGAACTTGGGGACTGTCACTGCCTAGTAGGTTGTTGTCGGCCAGTGAGAGCCCCTGCCTCAAACAAACCCCAAACAGAAAAAACAAGGACAGCCCCAGAGAAATGACTCCAAGTTGTTCTATCTCCACACACAGAAGGTACACAGTGGGCTAGGGGCTGTGCGCACCTTGGAGTCAGTGAGAAAGTGTGAAGGCTCTGAGCGTCAGTCGGCTCCTGGGGACTGGCCTGGCCCTGGCCTGTTCCAGCAACAACCTTGATAATCACATGCTGGCCCTGTGACAGCCTGGGCCACACCCTGGAGCAGGGCTCAGAAGTTGCTTCTCTTGGCTCCTCAGACATGCCAAGAAACTCCTGCCTGGTGCAGGAGCCCAGGGCCCCCTGTAGGCGTGGGCAGCCCGCAGAGAGGCAGACTCACTCTTCCTTATTTTATTTCTCCTTCTTTTCTTTCCCTCATTTATATGGGGTGGGGAGCACGTTCATCTTCTCTGTATAATTCCAATTTTAGCAAATGTACTTTGTTTCTCTAGGTGGCCTTACACTTGCTATGCATTTGAAGGAGACCCTGAAGGTCTGATTTTCCTGCCTCCGCCCTGCTGTACTTCTGCATATTACTGTGAGCAGATCTCAAGCTGAGGAAAAAAAAAAAATCTGAACACCCCAACCCAGCCACTGTTCTAGATAAGCCATCTCCTGGTCACAGGGCCATTGCCGCTCCTGCAGACACTCTCCAGTCAACACCCTGGCAATGCAAGGTAGCAGGGACCATCTCATAACTTTCCTCCAGTGCCAGCCCCATGGCCAAAGTAGAGACCCTAGAATTCCTGTGCTTAGAGGAACAGTACTGTCAAAATAAAGGTGAGGTTACAGTCTGTAGGAGCTGCCAGGGCCAGGGCTGTGGAGGTGGCATGGTTGGCACAGCACTGACCACAAAAGTATGAGGGTCTGAATTTGATATCCAGAACCATGTCAAAAAGCTGGCCGTGGTGACTGGCACTTGTAATCCCAGCTCTGGGGTTACAGAGACAGGAGGATTCCTGGGACTCACTGGCAAGTCGGCCTAGTCTCACTGTTGAATTTATAGGCAAAGAAGAGACCCTATGAGCACTGGGGCAATGGTACCTGAGGTTGAACTCTGATTTCCACACACGTATGTAAGAATATGCACCCTGCTCTCCTCTCCCCGCCACAACACACATGAGT